TCGCCGCTAGATGGCGCCACCTGTACCGTTTTGAACCGAATTCGACAAAAATTGATTTTCTGGCTTTATTAGGCATCAAAACGCATTAAACCCTTATAGAAATTTGTTTCTAAATGCCTCAAGAACCATACTACGTCGTCCAAATGCCGAAATATTGCACTTTGCAAACGCAGTAGAATTGACATAGGCGTCTCACGTGCGTATCGCAATGCTGACACAAAATAATTAATTATTCATTACCCGAACATTATTTATGAACTTTTATGATCTAACCACGTAAGTAATGCATTGCTGACCATTCTTTAATCATAAAAGTTCATAGACTGTGCTCAGAAAGTGAGTAATTAACGATTTTGCATACTCATTGTCGTGTATATTCCTCCTACGCGCCACCCGCCAGTGTTGCCCGGCGCTTGCGCATGCCACGGAGGAATAATTACCGAAAAACCGTATCCTCGTAGATTTTAATGTAGAATTGAATTTGCTCACGCTTATGTACTTGACTTTTTAACTTTTTTGTCCATGTTTTTCTCTTGCACCACTCAACCAATTCAACCGGATGACACGGTAGAATATTTTTGCTTTAGCGTGAAATTTACTTGCTCGCTCAACACCGTTAGATTAGGCGCGGAGCGCCTCAATCAAACAGACCTAGTGAAGTAGTTTTCCGAATCAATAATTTACTCAATTAAATTACATGACTGTGCTTACTAATTTTTATAAATATATTAGCAAAAGACAAAGAAATTCACTATTAATTTAATAGAAGAATATATGTGTATAAATTACACACGCTGACACATAAAAAATAGTACGTTCAAATGATATCACCGACATTCTTAACCTACAAATTAAATAAATAAATAAATCACAGAAACCAAAATCACCTATCGTATCGTTTGAGACATGTGCAATGGCGTTAACATCAGCTCGAATGCAGCATCTTTTAAGTTCGCGCCGCGTAAATTAGCTTCTTGTAAGTCTGACCCAGATAGGTCACAACACTGAAATGCATATGAACAATTTATTCATTTTATCAAGTTTTATAAAAAAATAAAAAATTGTTACCTCTAAATCAGCACCAGCCAGTACTGCTGATCTAAGATCACAGTTCCTTAGGATTGCATTTTTTAATGTTGCTACCCTAAGATTTACAGCAGCCATGTTGCTGCCTTCAAGATTGGCACCCTTAAGATTTACACCTTCCATATTCGCAGGTAAACCACCAGGATCTTCAAAATTACATGAGTGAAGATTAGCAGCAGCCAGGTTTGCACATAACATCCTGACACAAACTAACTGAGCACCTTGCAGATTTGCATGGGACAAATCTGCTCTTTCAAAACAACAACCTGATAAGTTGGCACCTGCTAGATTACAGCCACGCATAATTGCATACTGGAAAAAATAATGAATATCTAACCAGGTACAAATCATCTACTTTGATATAAAAATAATTTTACTTACCTTAAAATTAATATTTCTAAGATCTAGTTTTGATAAATCAGCACCAACAAAATCGACACCTTGGAATCTAAGTTCTGAGGAAATTGGTGTTGACATCAGTGCTTTAAGTACATCTTTACGAGTTAAAGACACCATACCACTTTTTTCAAGATTATCATCATAGGCCATTGTAAGCAATATTTCAATGGCACCTTCTATCCCATAAAAACGTGCTTCTGCCAAAACTCCTGTAAAAAATATTTATTACATTAGTTTAAACAAAAGTGTGGCACAATAACATACAGTAACTGAATTAAAAACAATTCTATCGTACTTCAAAAACTTAATGAAGAAATTATATATCATTAAATCATGTTTAAACATAACAAAAAGTACACCTTCTACATTAACGTTAGCATCAAGTATTATTTGCCCATGTCTTAAATAATTCAGTAATGGCTCAAAGTATGTAGGACTTCTGTCAATTAAAAAGGCTCCATTTTGATCCTGCCTGCTAGGCAGGATTCTTTGTTCATTGCCTATGGTGTCAATAAACATTCTGTAAATATTTTATATGTTGAATATATTATATATAAAATATGTAGAAATATTTTTAACACAAAAATCAATCAAAAAAGTTATGTTTACCTGGCCAACATACTCATTGGCTCCTTTTTAGTCAAAGTATCTCTAGTTGTAGTAAAATATTTTCCACCAACATTTAATGTGATCCATTCTGAGTTTTTATTTAACTGACCCTGTATATGAAGCTTATCCTTTGCAATAAAATCTTCTCCACTTGAAACATATAGGACATCGTCATCTCTACAAAAAAAAACTTGTGAATTAAGCTTGTTCCTATAACAAATATTATGAAACTAATTATTAATTTTTTAATCATGACACTAATCAAAGGCTCATTAACAAAGTATGCATTTTACCGGATTAATTTAATATCATCAACCTCCCCACCTTGAGGAGTAAATATTCTTTTAGCAGTTATTTCAAACTTTGCGCTGGCAGCTGTTAATAATTCATCTAACGAATGAGTCACCATAAATACCTAACAAAATTAAAAACCACCATATATGTAAGATCTATTCCAGTTTGCGTTCATGTTAAACCATTAATTTTACATAGAAAATTACGCTAAAGGCAACAGCATACTGTACATACATCATTTAAAATGTGACAGTACAGAATTTCTTTATATTTTACAAAAATCATTTAAAATTTAAGTCAAAGACAATAAAACGTAATTTACTATAAATAAAATTAAGTCACCTTGCCATTTACATCAGTTCCATTCACAAAAAGAATTACTCTCTTCATAACTAAGTAGCAATAAAATTTTATGTACAATAAGAGAAAATAATATTAGTATTTAATTTTACAGAAATACAATAAAGTCAAAAATAAGTTGTATTTGACATCGTACAAGTTGCCATCTTAAAAATATCTACAAAATATAAAACATAAATTTTAGAGATACATCTAATGCAGTAAAAACTATAATTGTGACTGTGCGTTGTACACCGCCTTAAAACTACATTTTCAACGAGAGATCATACTCATCGAACGAGTTTTTGTTTATTCAACACATCAGACCTGATTGGCTCGAATGTTTTGTAACCATGGATATATGATGGATCTTTGGACCATGTTCATAATTAATTAGCATAAATTATTTGCTGACTTTGTTCCGCAATTAGAGTAACTCCAATAGGCTCATTTTCATCTACATAGAATTGTATACTTCTAACATCTTGTATTTATCGCATTATCAGCGGTTTTTACTGTTCGTTTATTTTTTCCCACCATGTATATCTCCGTATGATAAAAACTAGTTGTGCAGGAATATTATCTCTTATGGTCAGGAATTTCCCTAGACTGAATTGTACAAACCACTGACTATAGTTACTCTCTTCTTGCGGTAAACACAGTGTATATAATTTGTGCAGTTTCCAGTAATATATTCGTGAAGAAAATGCACTTTTAAATGATTGATTTTAATAATAATTGTCATTATTTATTTTGAATGATGGTTGTAAATAAAGAAAATACTACGATTGGTATCCCTGATTATTATTCATTTACATACTCACACAGATAAAACATTTAACCTAGACGCAAACTCAGAGAGTATGGCTGCGTACAGTTTCACGGAATGACTTCGTCGGTGAAAATGAATAATTATTTAATATTCAAGTGAATAATAATCATTTTAAATATTTCTGTTAGCATGGAATTGGGCTTATCCAACACACTATTAGCGGGTGATCCACGATTAGTGGATCACATTGTAGGAGAAGTTAAATCTCAAGGGATCTTTGATCAGTTTCGTAAAGAATGTATCGCTGATGTTGATACGAAGGTATGCAATATGTATTTTAACAATTAATTTAACAGTATAATCTCAGAAGAATTTCTGTAATTATTCGAAACAGTATTCTAATGACTTTTAACATAATTCATTATAAGATCACATTGATTTGTTTTTTTAAGTACTATATTTATGTATGTAAATGCTATATCTGCATACTGAAGAAAAAAATTATTAAATGCAAATTATGTATGACTTAAAAAATATTCTCATTCTGTAATTAATTTGAAGAAAATGTATAAAATGATACATTACACAAAAATGACTTGTTGGTTAGCAAAAGAAACATATGATTAGTTACATGAGCATAAACTCCATTTTTTGTAATGGTACCATACAGATACATTTCACACATTTTCATCATTTATTAAAATTGTCATATTAAAAAACTTATATAACTTGAATATTTCATTTACTCCTGTGTTATTCTGTTAACCAATAGAGTACATTAAAATATTATTAAATTACACTGTATTGCAATAATTTAGCTGATGTCATGATGTATTATGTTACAGCCAGCATATCAGAATTTACGTACAAGAGTTGAAGGATCTGTGAATTCGTTCCTTAGTAAACAATCATGGAAACCAGATTTAAACAAAAATCAGTTGAGAGAAACTCTACGGAAACATATACACGATGCTCCTTACTTAGATGCTGGTGTAGAGCGTATAGTGGATCAAGTTGTAAATCCAAAAGTATATTCTGTGTTTATGCCGCAAATTGAAGATGTAGTATACAAATTTCTAGGCATAGAAAGACCTAAGGCAAAAGAAAAAAATGGTGCATGTGGCCTTAAAGATTTATTACCTAAGGATTTAGATCCTGTTTCACCAGAGTCTGACAAAAATAGTTTAAAAGATGTGTCTTTGGAATCCGTGGATGCAATAGAAAGTTTAGATGTGAGAAAAGATGAAAAATTATTTAATGAACAAAAGTCGCAAGAGGAAGAAGTGTCGAATGAGAAGAATAAAGATAATATTTCAGAGAATGGACAAATTTTTTCGGAAGAAAAGGTGTTAGATGAAAATGAAAAAACTTTTAATAAGACTGGTAGTAATTTAAATTTAAATACCTCTGGGAAATCGGATGACAAAACAGAAGAAGATGAAGAAGACAGTCCTACTTTTGAACCAATTGATATAATGAATTTAAATGAGTCTAACATTTCCAATGATTCACATTTATCAGGAATATCAGAATTAACTAGCCATAGATCTAGAAGTCCTGATTTTTGCAACGAATTATCGAGGGACAACTTTGAGTACAGCAACCAAGACTCACAGTTGAGCAAAGTTTCTTCAGACTCTCGATTATCGATTGTAACAGATTTTGGATCTTCAAATCATGCATCAACACCAATTCAGGATTCTTTAAAAGATGAAGTCAATAAAGATAAATGTGATGTTAGAAATATTAAAGACAATTTTAAAGCTGTCAGAGAATACGAGTCTAGTAAAAATAAAGGTACCAAAAGTATTTTTGAATTAAATAAAAATAAAGATGGGCAAGATACTAAAGATTCTAAAAATATTAAAAACAATTTATCGTCTAAAGAAAACTCGCGTGATGCTACAGATAGCAGTACAAAAGACAAATATGAACATAAAAATAACAAGGATAAAAACAAAGATAGTGAATCGAAATCAAAACCCAGAGATAAAAATCATATAAAAGATGACAAGCATCATAAAGAGAGGAGTAGCGGTAAAAAGCATAGAAGCCACAGCAGCTCAAAGTCTGATAAATATGATAAAAATAAATCTAAAGAAAAAAATGATCAGTCAAGAGAGAATGTAGATAAAAGTAAAGATACAGAGAAAGATAATTACACGACAACAAAAGAAGATAAAACAAAAGAAACGGATAAAAAAGATAATATTAGCAAAGAGGGAAAAGATTTAAAAGATCTTTACAAAGAAAAAATTAGAGAACTTAGAGAAAAGAAAGAACTTACAGAAAAAGAAAAATTAAATAAGGACAACAAAGAAACGAAATCAAATAAAGAGAATAAAGATAGAAAAGATTCTCCAAAAGATAAGAAATCTTATAAAAAAGATCATAAAAGTTCTTCCAAAAATTCTTCGTCAAGTTCTCATGAAATTAAAACGGCTAAGACATCAGAAAAAATTGTGGATGGAAAAGAAAAGAAGAGTGATTCAAAAGATAAAGATAAAAGTAAACGAGACGAAAGACGTAGTTCTAAAGATTACATAAAATCTAAAAATCATGTTAGCATTAAGTCGGATGGTACCGAAAAGTTAGAAAAACAGGATACAAAAAAAGTAGTTAAAAATGAGAAAGATGAAAAAACTGAAAAATCTGAGGTAAGAAAAGAAATTAAATCAAATAGTGAAAAACTAAATTGTAAAAAAGATGCCAAAAATTATGTGCAAAACAAAAATTTAACTCGAAACGACAAATTAGATAATAAGAAGGACGTTAAAAGTGATCCACAGGACAAGGATAAAAAACGAAGAGAAGAGAAAAAATCCAAATCAAAGGATGATCATTCAAGTTTAAGAAGAAATTCTAATGACCGGCGTTCTACAGATAGGGATGGTTCAAATGGATCAAGCAGTAAAAGCTCACAGTTCAGTAGTAATTCAGGTTCCAACAACACAAACAATAAATCAAATACATCTACTTTCTCAAAGGAAACAAATCATGTGAGTAATTCTGGTAGTGAAATATCAGACAGTATCGATGAAGTATGTACAAGTGCATTAAAATTATCACCAGAGCAGTCAAATTATAAATTGGACAAAGTTACAGAATTTTACACAGAGTACAAAACAGATGATAGTAGTAATTATGAGGTACATACTAAACAGGATTCTGAACTGAATGACGGTAACTTACCTTTAAAGAAACGAGCATTATTTGGAGAAGATAATAGTGCTTTAGGAGAAGTGAAAGTGAAGAAACCAAAATTTGCAAAAAACATACATGAAGCTAAAAAATTGATGAAGATTAGGAAACAAATAGAAAAACAAAAGCTTAAAGAACACAAAAAATTAGAGAAAAAGATTCAACAGAAGGTACAAACAGTACAACCGAGTACAGGAAATAATGATAATTTTGAAAGTATGCCAGATGAAGAACGCGTTCAAATAATAGAAATACCAGACGAGGAATATGAAGAACCGTATCCCGAGAAACATACAAATTTAACATTAGAAGAAAGATCAATTATGATGTTACAAAGAGAAGCAGGTACAAAGGATTTATTAGGAACACATTCTGATTTAAAATTAAAATTAACAGACATGGAATTGTGTATACAACAATCCTTGGGTGAAACACTTCCTAATAAAAAATTAGAAAACGTATCTTCACAAGAGACAAATTCTAAGACTCAAGCAACACTTACTGACAATAAGGGAAATGAAGAATTATCAGATAAAGACTCATTGTCTTCTATAATACTAGGAACTAGTTGCAATGTAATAAAAGAAGAAAAAGTAAGTGATTCTCCAAGCATATGTTCAGAAAAAGAAACAAAACAAGAAACTAGCATTTCTAATTTAGAAGAAAAATTAATACCTGAAAAATCAGACCCTTTTGATATTGATACCAATAAAAATAACAGAAATGAGATATCAGAACAAGACTCAACAGATAGTGTAGACAATGTAAATTATATAAAAATTGATAAAAGTATAGAAATACCTACAACGTCGAAATCTAGGGATGAAGACGTTTCTCAGGATATCCCAAATAACAGTTTTTCTAAATTAAATGAAGGTATTAATGAATCAGATAATATCAGGAGGATTAAGGAGGACAATGAATCTTGGGCTGCAGAATCTACATCAACAGTAGCTGAGGATAATGAAGAGTGTCGCTATTTCAAAGCTGATAATGAAAAGTCGGAAAAATTCTCTAATTTTCTAGAATCACTGGAATTAGTAAAAAATAGTTCTTTAGAGGACATTATAGAAAGTTTAGGAGGGCAAGTTGTATCATCAATGCCTAAAACAATGGCACCTCCTTTACCCAAACGCAAACATTCTTCTAGCCCATTAACAGATATATTGTTAAATAATTCAAATAATAATAATGATGGTCATAAGAAAGCATTGAATTTACCTACTGAAGATGCATTAAATAATATAAAAAAAAGAAAACTTGTTGTACACAAAAAGCAAAGACTTCAATCTAATGTATGTGCTCCACAAGGATTTTTAAATGGAGAAAATTTTGTTATGCCCCTAAGTCCAGAAAGTGATGTGTCTGCAACTAGTGAAAAAATACCGTCATCAAATCTAATTAAAGAAGACAAAGGGTATGTTGAATAATTATTTTTCTAGTGAATGTTTTTTACCATGGTTTCATAAATTCAGGATTTTATTCATGAAATTTGGACACATTGCTGATATTTATGAGTATATATAATAAACCAAGAATACTAAATTTATATCTGTTACATTTGTTTATTTAAATCTCCTATGTAAAACAAATTTTCAGGTCAAAAACTTTTTGTAACAAAAATTTACACTGTAAGCAAAATGTGTAATGTAGAAACTTAAATTGATATATATATATATATTATTTGTAACATCAAAATAGTTCGTTTGAGATATAAATATCTCTTTACTATTCATGTCATAACTAGTTTATTATGTAATTACAGCCGGCATAGAAGCAGTCAACGTTACTCAAGTGATGATTTATACAAACCACGTCCATTATTTTCAAGTTCTTCTCGCAGAAGTAGGAGATCTAATCAGGTATAGCTAGTAGCTTGTAGTTTCAGATGTTAAATCTTTTTCTTTGAGTGATACAAAAACAAGTCCTGGTTGTTGATTCTAGTAATACACTTTATATTCTACTTGGATCAAATATTTTTGAACTTTAACTGATACTAATTCTGGTATGACCAAACTAAAACTGTAAGCTATTAGATACATTATAGTATCTTTAAAGTTTGTTCCAAATTGTATTATATGCAGAAAAGTTCAAATTAATATATTTAAAGCTTTTTTAGATAATTGTATTAGAAAAATTAAAAAGATTTCTATAGGTTGACGTTCTTTACATTTATTATACATTTTTTAACAAATTTTCATTACACTTAGTAACAAAATACTAAATATTTTAAATAATTATTGTCAAATAATGCAACTTGAACAACAGTTGTTTGTGTAGAAATATTGAATCCAATGCAGTATTAAAAAATACGCACTTAAGAAATATTTTTAAACGAATGCAAAGGTTTTTTAAAGATACTTATTTCAAAAAGGACATACTGCAGTACTTTGAAACTTTTAAAAATGTGAAAAATGATAAGTATATGTACACGTTAAAGTAAATTGTACAGTCATTAAATTCCATTAGAAATCATGTAAAATTTTATATTTACAAGAGCATGTATAAAATTTGTGTGAATAATATATTTTTAATTTACATTTAAAATTACATTGATACTACATATTTATGTAGTTCTTATTTATTAAAAAAGGGTTGAAAAATAATATTTTTTCACATTACTTATATTAAACTTTTTGTATAAAACCAATTATAAACAATACACAGGTTTGCAATTAATACTGTGCAATTTTCATTAAAATATATTGTACACAGTACATTGAGAGGTACAGAATGTATTTATAGGATCACAAATTAGATAGATATCATATATATTATTTAAAATAACTACATTACTCATATCTTACAGTAAGTTTTTATATATGATTATAAAAACCTTTAATTTTTATTGTTCAATTTTCTCATAAAATTTTTTCTGAAGTTAAAAATTGATGGAAAATATGTATGAGATTATAAGCCTGATCAGATTCAATCAGAAGAAAATTACTATGTTTGAATAATTATTGTGCATTGTGTTATGTACAAATAATTTTCTACATCTAATAATTGTTTCCATTTCTTAACATGCTACTATTGATAATTTGTTTTATAATTAAATTTAGTAAGGAGAATGGATGTTAAAACCAATTACTCTGTGATGTTAAAAGAAGATAAGCAATAGCTTCTACAAGTTTCTTTAAAAGATTATGAAACAATAGTAGCAAGAGAATTGCGGTGCAGAAGAGTCATTCATTTTTGCCATGTTAATAATTGCGCATCACATCACTTTTTACTTAATACTTAAAATTGTAATATTAAATTTTTACAAGGATGTTACATTTGTTAATAAGCGTGTTCTTTATTCTGTACATGTATAAGTTTGTATAAATATGTATATAAAACTGGAGTACATTACACTTTATTACTGTGAAAATATTGTAGAATATTTTTTCCAACTTTTTAAAATATTTATTGCCATATGTAATATAGTGATTAAAAATTTATATATACTATAAATCTCACTATTATTATGATTGCTTTAAAATAAAGCGATTTTTTGTATACATGTTAAACAGTGCATAAATATTACAACCTTCCTCCACCTTACATAACAGTACAGAAAGCTGTTACTTCATATATCGTGTTACAAATAAAACTTTTCTACTAAAAATAGTAATTCTTCTTTCTGATAATTCTGGTGCGAAAAGAAACAATTTCCCCTTTATCTAATAAACATTGCAGATAATAAAGATAAAGTAGAGTCAACTGCATACGTACGATATTTGTATTACGATATCTGACGCAAAGAACGTAAAATTGCATGAATACGGTATAGCAGGCCAAAACAAACAAATTACATTAGGTAATCAATTAATTACAACTGTATTTTAAAGCATCTTCTTTTGTTCCAACTTTTATGAAATTATACGCGTCAATCAACCTTGCCATTTAACCGGAGTTTTCATAAATCCATATGCAATAACCACGGTGTATAGACCTTTGTGTATTATTCAGAATAAGAAATTTATGTATTAGAAACGCTAACTATTTCGCATACCATAAGGAAAATACAATATTGAAAATACACATGTGATACTTGGTAATCGCAGTATTTCCTATAAATAGAATGACAATTTGTGAACATTTTATCATACTACGTAATATGATATTGTGCGCGTTTACACAACACGTGCATTGTCCGGAATATTGTAGAATAGGGTATTAGAACACTATGAAGAATAGAGTTTTTTCAATATTGCTGGTTATTTACCTTTGCTACGCAACAAACTTCTTTCTAGATTAACTTGTTAAACGACGATAAGAACATAGGAATAATTTTTCTTTTCAAACATAATCTATTGTGAAATCATCAATTCTTTCAAAAAATATAAATGTCAATAAACAGAGAATATTCTAACCGTATATATTTCAAGTAAAACAATGTACAATAAATTTGTAGTAACAATTTAATCTGTACAGAAGAGTAAAACTCTTTTGAAATGAAAGATAACGATCATACAATACTAATTCGTATAAATTGAATGAAGCATCTCTTCGTCGTGATAACAAGTACAATATCAGGGCCGAATTGAAATCTTCAAAGGACCCAAACGTTAAAAAATTTTAGTACTTTAATTTTGGAAAATATGAGCCATAATAAATTCGATAATAAAAAATTTCTGCATTATCCTTTTCCCTTGGACGTTCTAAACACGTGTTTATTTTGCCTATTGATTTTATACCATAAATCATGAATATTTTGATGCAAAGCTAGTTCAATAAAAGAGAGCTAAATATCACAAAAACTGTTCACTAAATTTATTACAAATAAAATAACCAACAGAAAAGGTTTGATGGTGCTCAAAGCATTAATGCAGCCCTGATTATCATGCACGTCCGTGCACATGCAAGCCTTGCACGATAATCAGACCTTACGTATGTAGGTAAGCTCACTACTGCGTAGCACACATGCATGAACCACGTGGTTGAATACGACGCATGCGTGACACGTGCGCGCACACCTAACCTCATCGGATCAATGTATGAGTATTCGTAACAGTATTGTGAAGAATGCCAGTATGTATCGGATTCCGTAACGATTCGAATAAACAATCGGAGGCAAACGCCGTATATTCTTGTATTTCAAAGAGGACTTGTAAGCAAGTACAGTAATTTCTTTACAACACGGAATACGTGGAGGGGATTCACATTGTAAATTTCTCTATCGAGGTAGCAACCTTTTCGATTTCAATACGATTCCATTGAGCACGGACAACGAGTACAATTACGTCCCGTCATTTCGAACGAATAAATGTTTCCCTTAATTTATTTTTAATGGAGATTTCATCAATTATTAAGCAAATGCTGCTATATCGGCGTTAACTCGGCATCGGTCGCTGCTGAAACTGCGTTGTCTGTTTCGAGAGTACATACAGTAATTACGATAGTTTAAAGACCTGAGCTGGAGTTTGTATTAAAGTACCTTCAGAAACATGAATGCGGAAATTTACGAAAGTTTACCGACGTCTTCTGTGGCTATACACATGACAGCAGGTGCATTCGCTGGAATTATGGAACATTGCGTGATGTATCCACTTGACAGTGTTAAGGTAATAACTTTATTTCTCCTACATTTTTTCTAGGATACTTTACATAACCTCAATTACCGTTTCACGATATTTAGTTTGTTATATTCGAGTAAAATGCAATGACATGTAAAACTATGACATTGTAAGTCACATGGTCTTTGAATAACAACGAATATGGTATTCAAGGCACGAATTAATTCTTGGAATTCTACCACTTTCCTTGTTGAAACGTGGGAATCTCCATGCATCACGATCGTTGTAATCTTAAATAAATAACGAAATATTTATCTTCTCAAGATAATTACAGTCATTCTTCGGTAGTCGGTAGTCTGTAAAATTATTTTGACGCTCGTATTAGTTAAAAAAAAATATTGTGTAATCAATTTTAAGCAACATAATTTCATAACTGTTTCTAGGTATTAATTCTCTCGATGCACGAACGATTGTATTAGTCATCAAATGATTTAGCAAAAATGTTTTGTAATGATGATTTACTATTATCTTTTCAGTTGTTATCTATGTAATAACAGGTGTAGGAGACATGCATACATATAATGTGCTATCAAACATTGTTGCTAATACAAATTTAGTTTTTTACATAATTTATTAATGGTGAAATTATGTAAGCAGTACCAACAAATAAAATGAATTCTGTGTAACAGAAATAAATCATTTCTATTGTCTTCTTAATTATTTTTAATGGAAGTATTCCTGTTATTTTTATTACATTGTTCTATTAATAATATATATTTAATTTATATACCACATCTATCATTGTTTTTAAATCTCCATTGTTTTTTAGTTGACATATTTCTATTATTTATAATATAATCGTTATAATCTTTATTTTAAACAATTTATGTCGAAACATGTGTATCAGTTTAAACTGTAATTATATATAAGAAGAACAACAATAGTATTAATACCTGAAAGTAAAATTATCTTGTACTGATACTTTTGTGTTACTACGAAAAATAAATGTCTGACAGTGTTAATTCATGTAAGATAATGAAACAGCAAGATGAATTTGAAACACTCGTTATATAACACAGGCCCGTCCAAGTAGGGGAAGCGAAACCCAAAACATGTGTTACATTGCCCCTTTCAGCACTGCTTCTTCAGCTTCTTGTCTCTAAGCGAGAAAGAGAGAGCAATAGAATTCTTACCATCATAGCTGAAGAAGTACTATTGGAAGGGGAAGTGCAATACATGTTTTAGGATTCACTTTCCCCTACTTGGACAGGGCTGATATAACACATTTCTTAGTTCTATTGCAGTAGATCCTATTTTTGGTTTTCTTTTCAACCTACAATCTATATTAATGATTGCTTTCATGTTTAGAAAATATATTATTAATAAAATATATACATAATGCAATATGTAAATGTGTTATATAACATTTAAATATCCCTATAGAAACGAAAACTTAAAGTTTAATGACCTGTTCTATATCTTACTTGCAAGATATTATCATTCATATCACTGTATTTATTATTGTAATTAAAGACTTTTATGACTCATAAAAATACTTTTATGTGTTTATATATCATTAATATTTATCATTCATTGTATGTTTGTATTTATACATGAAGTATGTATAGAAATTGTATAATCTTAATACAATTCTTTGTGCACATTTAGACAAGAATGCAAGCATTAACACCAGGTCCAGGTGGAGGAGGTGGAATAAGAACAGTTTTAAGTAGTATGATACGTCAAGAAGGTGTTTTAAGACCAGTTCGTGGTATGAGTGCAATGGTTGTAGGAGCTGGACCTGCACATGCACTATATTTTTCATGCTATGAGTTTATTAAAAACAAGCTCGTATCTTCAAGGGCGCATTCAGAATTGAATGTAGTTGCTTATGGATCAGCTGGTTGTATAGCAACACTTCTTCATGATGGTGTAATGAATCCAGCAGAAGGTAATATGGTTTCAAATTTATCAATTATTCAGTCTACTCATTATGAATATGATGTACTATATGGTGTCCTGAAAAGGTATGGACATGTAGAACTGTGGATGTTCCATACAAAAACAAAGCAAAAAGATTTTTTTACCATTCTGCAATTTTTATTTAAAAATGTAAATTAAAATTGGGTATTGGTTTTTCAACATGTCCTATTTAGTTGTCTGCAGCTTAAGTTACACATTGCAAAATGGTAAAGAATTTATTGATTTATTTTAACACAAAGAATCTGCAGTATACATGATGCACAACTTTTTCCAGGCACTGTATATATATAAATTAGGTGTATTTTCTAAAAAACGAAAAACACTTCTTTTATGGGGAAAATACATAAGCTAAATGTCGTTCATAATTTTTAGAATTTTATCCAATGAAGAATAAAATTATCTTATTCCAGTGGTTAAACAGCGATTACAAATGTATAATTCTCCTTATCGAAGTGTTGTAACGTGTATAAATAACATATACCAAAATGAAGGTTTACGTGCATTCTATAGAAGCTATACAACTCAATTGGCTATGAATGTGCCTTTTCAAATGATTCATTTTATTATTTACGAAACTGCACAAAACTTCACAAATCCAGAACACACTTACAATCCTATAGCACATATGGTATCTGGTATGTACATCTTCTATAAGAAAACTAATTTATACTCAAAAGAACTGCATTAATAAAATTATATAAATTGTAGGCGCATTAGCAGGAGCTGTTGCTGCTGCATGCACAACACCTTTAGATGTTTGTAAAACGCTTCTAAATACACAAAATGGTGTACATGCTCAAGGTATGATAGATGCTGTTAAAAAAGTTTACAACTACGGAGGTATAAGTGGTTATTTCCGTGGTATAAATGCCCGTGTTCTTTATCAAATGCCAGCAACTACAATTTGTTGGTCCACGTAAGTACATAAACATAATAGTAATAATAAAATCGTTGGCAATAAAAAGATATATAAATGCATCATTTATAAACTCTAAATTTAAATCAAGTAAAACAAAAAGTTAATGGTTTATAGTTTCAAATGAATTATGTTATCTTGTTTTATATAACATGCAATACAAAAATATTCTTTTTTATAAATTATTTAGATACGAATTTTTTAAATATATTCTTCATAAGAAACAAGACGATGGATATTATATACCAGAAGCTGACAATGATTTAAGTGGAACAAATCAGCAGGCTGCTTCTTCCTGGTCTAGTCGTATTGAAAACGTGCGAGTATATCTTAAAAAAAATACTCCAACCTCAGAGTTGCTCGATGTAACTACAAGTTAGGTATTTTTGAATTCTTTAATAGTACCATTTAAATTGCACCGAAGAACTGTTGGATGAAGAAGCATCCGGTTTACGTATTTGAAGAGTTTATCGATGATATTTCGTTAATTCATCTGTTACAATGGTATTATTACACATGTATAAATAACTCGTAATGAGTGGGTATTACAATTCATTAATTAAAAATTCATTTTTGAGTCAAGTGCAGGGCGCAGGCTCATTGAAACGAAAATGTTGCAGAAAATTGTTTAAGTTACTTCTCCATATATGGCAATTTGAAAGGACATATGTTATCTATAATATAATTGCATTTTTTTATACGTCAAAAATAATCACGTAATAATTTACAAACATTATCAACAATAACAAATAACGATTACAAACTGACAAAAAAAATCAAAATTCATGAAACAAAGAATTATATAACAAACATATTTTATTCTTTTCAACAGTATACAATTTGTAAATTTTGCTGAATTTTTTATTTTTATCGAATAAAATAATTATTGCTATATTAATTTAAAATGAAAATAAATTGAAATTGAAAGTTAACAATTTTACTTTAAGAACGATACATTTATCGATACATACTAGTATAGGTGATTGCTAATGAAGTGAGAAATAATGGATAGAAACAATATTGTCTATCGTACTGTTCATATAGAGTAACATGAAAAGTTTATCACAATAATTGAAACAGATAAATAAATTATTATTTTGCAAAGAAATAATGAAAATACCACTAAATTATTTGTAAACTATGTACAATTTGTTTGTGAAACAATTATACTTTTGTTGTGGAATAATTTATATTTTAACTTATTTTCACAAACATATTTCTAACGTTTATAAATTATGTAACGTATAAAAAATCGAAATGTAACAATAATTATACATAGAATCAACCAATCATCTTTAATATTAAATAAAAAGAATATAATTGTTTTGTATAAAAACGAAAATTGTTAAAAATATTTTACTTGATGGCAGTAAAATTGTATTTAATATAAGTATTTTAAACATACTAAATTTGAATACCTGTTCTTGAATAATAATTTTACAGTATATTCAATATTGTACCATATATGTAGATTAAAAAGATGACAGTGGGATGCATGAAAAAAAAAGATGAGTAACGACGAAGTGTGCATATTGTAATTAAGTCGGCTTAATTGAAAACTAATATTACTCTTAAAAATTCTTAATTAAAAATCTTATATGTTTTGAAAAAGAAACGAATAATTTTTACTATTTAATAGTTGTAATAACTGTAAGGCAGGTTCTAAGTTTAGACGAAATGTAAGTTTATTAAGATCTATCTGAAATGAAATCCTAGATAAGTGTTACATAAAAAATGATAGAATATTGAAAAGAAATTTTTATTACATCAACTGTCTAGACCAACTACGATGGTGTAAATTAATATTTTGTAGAACAATGTAGATAAGTTAATATTTATATGCGTATGTACAGTATGACGAGACAGGTTAGAAAAAAAAGAAATGGTAATGTTATTGTTCGATAAGTACAATTCGCCTTGATTATACAAGTACAAATTAAGAATTGCTCCTTAGTCAGTTTGTAATATAAAAAACATTGCATCTAAACTTTATGATGTACCACAATATTGCTTCCTATGGCTGTGATTACTGAGTCATTTGATGTTGACTTTAAGAGGGAGTAATATCATGTGAGAACTCATACTTCACGCCATATTTATTTATTATTAATCATTGTTACTGATATTTCATTTGGCGCTACAAAACATGTCACTAATCTTTATGCACGTAAAAGTATACACGTTTTTTACGAATATTTTTTGGTAGACTCATCTCAATTATAAATATATGTATTACTTTTGAAAATACATTCAAATTATTTCTAGACTACGATTTCAATTTTTAGTAAAAATTTTATAATAAAATTTGATAGATGCACACTGTATACACGCGAATATACATATGATATATGTAAAACGTTCAAGTATATCAAATTGCAGTGTGTTCAATGATCTTTTTACTCGTGTCTTACGTTTGTGGTAATCTCTCAAAATTTATTTTAATGCACAAATTTTTATTGTGTATTCTTTCTTTTTAAGCGTTTTAAATACTCACTTTGCATAGGGTAAAAGACAATATCAGCCGCCCAGTTTTTATCAACATCCAAAGTTTACGTTTGCGTAGGTCACAATAATCGGCCGATTCCCCCGGATTATTTATCTAAAAAATTAATAAGCAAATCATTCTTGTTTCTAAAATCAATTATACATACTAATCTCTGCCTCTTAAATTTATTGTTCAATTAGTTTGTATGTAACATAATGATCCCACTGGTATTATATAAGTTAATGATAATGTATTAAAAAAGATAATTGATTAACACTATTGAACATACAATAAAGAAACGTACTATATGTAATAATAATGTAAATAAAATAATTCTGTAAACTATGTAGAAAAACGGAAACAATTTTTTTTTGCCTACTGCACTGATGCAGGGAATTGTTAATAAATAAACATTAGAGCATCACAGATGAAATCTTTGTGTAAAAATCATGTAAATTCTTTTTATACAAGTTTCCCAGTTTTTTACTGTTCCATATTATCAAGTGTAAATTAAATCATGGCAACTGGAGGAATTTGCGACGCACGATGTCAGGCATTTTGGACTACGATGATACGAAGAGAAGAAGCGATGCGAATCAGATGGTTTCTGAAGAACCAACAAAAACTGTTAGCTCGCTTAGAAAAGTCGAAGCAAATTTCAATGTCGCCTACGCGGGAAGCAGACAAACCACAAAGCGTGGACACTGTACAATCGTGTTGCATGTCGTAATAAAGCTAGCTGTATAGCAAAGGTTAAATGTCATTTTCTGTTTCATAGATACGTTTAAAACCTTTGCCGAACTGGAGACCCATGGAACCGGACGGTTCTATTAACATGAATATAATGAAACCAATTGACCCTGAAGTAAGAGCCATTTTGTACGAAAACGCTCCAAGTTTTATCGCTGCTGAAAATTACGCTCGTGAAAGGTTCATGCAATATGCAACAATTTTTGTACAACAATATAGATTACATATCTCAGAAAAACGAAAAGCCAGATATGAATTTCTTTTTTCCGTAAGATATTTTTAAAATCGTTTACTGATCTTGTACTGATAATTATAGATTAAAAGATAGCCCAGAAGATCGCTATTACTATCCGGATTGCACAAGTTGGGTACACGGATGGCGCCTTACGGATTATCCACCCGTTCCACGAAGCAAAGTCGGATCAAGAAATGTCTTGATACGTGAATTTTATCATCCGAGAATATCGAGCCTCCAAAATGACCCAGAATGGTACCGTTCGTCCCAAAAAACGCTGAATAAATGTAACAATACAAGTTAATGGACATATGCCACAATGTTTCACAAATTTGTAATAGTAAGTACTATACATTTTCTCTTTCTCTTTGTGTTTAATTTTTTTAAAGATATTGTTTAATTCTGTACATTAAAAAATATACTTTGACATTGTGTTTTATTTCAACTATTAAATATATTTTTTTAACATTTTGACAAAACATGTACCACGTTTTTCCTCGAAGCTCCAATTGCTACGTCTCTTCATTCTTATCTAACGTAATCAATCGCTGTAACTCTAATGGCAGCACATACTGTGCTTGACCCGGCGCAGCATGGAATACGAAGTCAATGAATCTCTGGAAGTGTGTAGTAATCTGACACAGTTGATCTTCTAATGATTTCTTTTCCAAATGACAATTAACAATTTCTTCCCTCATTACGCCCATGATATCTTGTAGGCGGGCAACTAACTCGCAGATTGCGTTTATTTGTTTCTATATTAACGTAAAATATTTTAGTAAAACGTTATCAGCCACGTGCATAGATGGAATTCAGTCACCTCGAAGAATTTATGTATAGTGTGCTTTTCCCTATCGCTTCGAAGCCGTTCCAAACAAAGAAGATAGATTATATCAGTCGCATTTTGCATTTCAAGTTGGTGCCTCTGAATGTATAACTCCTTGCGTAATTTACTCTGGAATTCTTGCATATTCTTGTTTAATTGTACGTGTTTCTCTCTGTATAAAATTTATCTGATTATTTGAAAGAAACGGTATAACGTTTTGAGAGAATAGGAACCTCATGATATGATTGAAATCAGCGATTATGGTTTCTCTTTGGGCGCGGAAGGTGTCTTCGAAATCTTTGTACAAAATGAGCACGACGTGAGAAATTTCAGTGCGCATCTTCTGCATCATTTCACGAACCACGTTTATTCGTTCCTGCACGACCGCCTTTTGGATGTCTTTCTTATGCTCGGCGGTCACGTTTGCCCATTCATTCTGAGAAGCAAAAATATTTTCCACGTTTTATCTTAGATAGAGTAGTTTTTACAATATAAAATTCAATATCTTCAGGGAATTAGATATCTTCGTGCAATTAGATACCTTCTGTAAGTAGATACCTTCGAGAAATTAGATAGCTTTGTGGAATATAATATTACTTTAATGATAATTGACTGAATTTGTTGCACGTGACGTAGATCATTGCACGGTCGATTTCGAAACGATAAGTTTTAAATGAAAAATATTGATAAGACAATACATTAGTCATCTACGCCTATACATTTGATACGTAACCTAACAATTTTTATACCGGTTAAATAAGCGACGCTTGATATAAATCTAAATTGATTATGTGGATCAATATTTTTCCCGTAGAATTCTGAGAAGGACCTTGAAACAAATTACTCACGTTGTACCTATTTAAAGATAAGATTTCTGAGAGTATTCTTTTATCTCAGAGTCTGGAGACCTTAAATTATCACGTAAAATCAATTTAGATGTTATTTCAGTTGTGCTTATTTTGGGTACTGATGTAGCTACCTGTTATATTGCCTTATTTTAAATACAATTAAAATATTTCATCAAACTTAAGGGACACAGTTAATGAATCATCCTGTATAAGTAGCTACTTAATGTAACTACACAATAACAAAAACATTAATTTTGGACCACCCTGTATGACTACTGTTAAATTCCATTTAAAATTAAAAAAGATTACTTCTAATTGTCGTTGCAATTGCTTCTGCACACAGCTCAAATAATTTTTGTAATTCAGGTGTAATCGTTGCACATGCTCCTGAGCTTCCCGCCTTTTTTTCGCTTGGTACATATGAAATTTTTCATGGGCTTCTTTCTGTATTCTTGCTCGTAGATTCTCTTCAATTTCCTTCTCAACGCGTTTCAAAATCTCCTCTCCTATTTCTAACGATTTTAATCGATATTATAATCACTGACATAAAAAACGTTATCTGGCGAGGTCCGTTAGATCAACAGCTGCATACCAAGAGCCTTTGGACATTTGAAATTTTAGAATTTACAAGTTTACAAATTTTCAGTATGGAGGTATTTAATGTTCTACGTATTTCGATCTATATCATTCATATTTAAGAGACTAAATCCATTCTAACTACGTCACCAATTGTAATAGGCTATAATTCGATTTTACAGTGATTACCTAGGATATTTTGATGTACGAATGCTTTGACAACTTGGAAATCCGTTGGCGGTGTATACGCGGTACCACGCGAGTCATCTTCAGACGATATCGAAAAACAATCTTTCGATATCTTCGGTGGCGTTAAAACGTCTAGTAATTTCTTCGTGTCATCATGAGTGTATTGGAAAAATGCTTGTGCTAACGATGCACCGAGACATGCACGAATCGATGATGATGGTAGAACTCCGATGGTTGGACATATTTTTGCATTGCACACGGAATTTGTTCGATCTGTAACAATTTTATTGAAAGTATCTCCATGGCAAAATGTATACTCGAATATGCAAGGAAAATGGTGTAACACGTATGCATGGACGTATTTTCGAGCTGTCAAATTAAAAAAAAGTACTTTGTGTCACCTGTTGATTAAAGACGCCCCCCCTGTCATTCACTTCAAAAGTTACCACGTGTTTATGAATTCTTTATAAAATCAAAAACAAATAATTCGAATACGAATTCTTGCATTTTTTCCTGTAAGGACAGCTGACGTGTTTGGCACAATATTTTTACTCTTCAAAGAATACATTTTAAGCTGATAGCGTCTAAATTTACAATTTTTATCTATATTGAGTTTATGGTTATATTTATCGTTCCGATAGGGTTAAATAGTTTTGGGATATCTTGTTTACAAATTAAATAATTTACGGGCGGAAATCTTCAAAACACGAACCACTGTTTTAATAAGCGATAACATGTGCGATTGTCGACGTAAATGAAAGCATCATTGGTATTTCCTACAAGTTTATAAGCAGGATCAAAAGTTATGTATTCAATCTCGAGAATTTAGCGGGAAACCCTGACATGTAATATACGTATATAACACACTTTAATTACACTCACTCATTTTTAGTGCTTGAAAATATTTTGCTGGTCAGCAATTTATACTGAAAAATTTACCTTCACGAAGAATTTAACCTTTCCAAATTTACATCTTTTTGGCAGATGACAGGCAATTGGAACGAAAAATGAAACAGTTGACTTTAAATGTTAATACTGTGAAATGTGTCTCGTTATTTCGAACATTTATAACATGGTACAATTTTCGTTACAAAATAAAAAACGTATAGTATGTTATATTTTATTTTATTTAACTGTTACTATTATAGAAACATTTATAATAGTAACATAATTAAACATGACAGAACTCTTGTATGTATTAAGTTAAACTTTTCATATGCACTCTTTTTTATAAAATTCTTACATTTCCCACAAAGTTTTGTGTCATAATTTTTTTATATATTGTACTTAATTTAATATACGTTTATTACGTATTATTGAATTTTATTAAATACATGATCAAAGAAAATGTTGGTCGCATGTTTAGAAATAAATTTTAGTTAGGTTAAAATTATCATAGAGCATATATGCACTTATCTATCAAATTTTCAGGTCGGAATAAATATTATATAAAACCATGCAAAAATTTCAATATAAAAAACAAAAGATGTATTCTTTTAACATAAAAATGTGTTAAATGTAAATCTACTAAATTAAAACAAAGTAAAATGAAATCTGCTAATTACCAAATTTAGGAAGCAATAAGACAGTTTTATATATTGATTAACACATTAAAAGATTATGTTAAAAATTCCGAAGTGAACCTAATCAATTTTCAGGAACATATTATTGGTTTTTACAAAATTAATGCCAGTACATTAAAACATAAATTATAAAATGATTACGTTAAAATTGTAGAAATAGAATTTTAAACAAATTTTTTTTTACCTAATTTTTATTTGGACTCGATCGAATAAAATTAATTCGAATTTAATATGATCCGTAATCTAAAATTTTAAGCAGAAAAATTACCTGATTCTTCAAACTACATTACAGTGAACTCTGGCCTCCTAATTCTACAAAAAAGCAGAAAAATGTATAACTTTGGAGGGTAAATAACGGATACTATAGTATTGTCAAGCAAAATGAAAAATATAGTAGCAACTTGACCTCACTATAAACTTGTCATTGTATTCAGTTGTATTTTAACGACAGCAGTGCCGCCATCTATTCGAGCTTCGTTTTCAGTACACGAGGTTGTATTTTTGATGTCATGATCTGTAGAATATGAAAATAAATAAAATTGGTTTCAAAAATGCTACCAGTTATGCAACTTGTTACAGATCAATTAAAGCGACGTAATACTTTAATGTTACCATCATTGTTAAGGTCTTTATTAATGTATTTTTAGAATCATTCATATAACCAACAATTTTCAAAACGATTACATCAACTTTTTTATGTTACAATTTTTAGACAATTAAGTCCTAGGGCAGGATTTACGCAAAGTGTTCGAAGAGCACGAAATACAGATAAATCAGTATCATCGTTGTTTCAACCTGAACCTGTGAAATCAACCCCGGATCTGAATGTTGGTGCCGAATTAACTGGTGCTTTGAAAAAACGTGATGTTGTACAAATTTTAAGTACTTTTGCAAAAACGAGTTCAGTTAAAGAGTTAAGTGCAAAACATGGATTAGATGGTAATTAGTATTATTTACATTCTGTATCATACATTTATATTGTTTATAAATTGCTTATTCTGAAAGTAACTTTTAAAAGATGCAAAGTTTTCTGTTTATGTTAGTATCAGATCAAGCAGTCAAAAATCAATAATGTGGATACAAACTAATATTATAAAATTGATGCATAAGTTGCAACATGTTTCGATGTATAAATGAGCCCTAAAGTTGAGAAATTAATTTATTGTTTTTGGTTTTATATTTTTTCTCTTTTTTCAGATGCAATTTTTAATTCAGCTATGGGACATTTTCGTCGATTTTGTGTGGAATCTAAGACACTTCCAACAGATCTGCATATTATTATAAGTGACATTAGTCGAAATGCTGGAAACATTACAGATATATTTCCATATTTTTTACGTCATGCCAAACAAATGTATCCACACCTTGATTGTTTAGAAGAGTTAAAGAAAATCAGTGATTTACGAAATCCTGCTAACTGGTATTTTGATATAACATTTATATAATGCTTATATTAAACTAATTGAAGTATTTTCTCACTTTTACTACTAATACTAGGTATCCTATAGCAAGGTCAAGGAAGAGAAAACTTATATTTCATTCTGGACCTACAAATAGTGGTAAAACTTATCAAGCTTTAAGACGTTTTATGTCAGCAAAAAGTGGCGTTTATTGTGGGCCATTAAAATTGTTAGCTGCTGAAGTTTTTAACAAATGTAATCAAATGGTCAGTAGTAAACAATTATTTTTAAAGAACTTTATTGATTTAGCATATATAATTTTAGGGTACTCCTTGTGATTTAATAACAGGGGAAGAACATAGGTATGCAAAAAATGCATCAGCTCCTGCAAATCATATATCATGTTCTGTAGAAATGGTAAACATACAAAATACTTGTAAGTCTGATCAGTTATATTGAAATAATATCAGCAGAATCTGAATATAGAAACTATTTTGATACAATATTATTAAATATTTTTAATAATTATTATAGATGAGGTTGCTATAATTGATGAAATTCAGTTGATACGTGACCTTACTAGAGGTTGGGCATGGACAAGAGCTTTTCTTGGAATTGCTGCAGATGAAATACATTTATGTGGTGAAAGTTCTGCCATTCCTATAGTATGGTTTATACTTTTATTTCATAAATTATTAAAATAACGGCATGGTAATTTCAATAAATTTAACATATTATATTTATTATTGGAATAGATAGAGTCTATATGCCTAACAATAGGTGAACAATTAGAAGTGAAAACATATAAACGATTGACTAAGCTTGAAATAGAAAATATAGCGCTTCGTTCGTTCTGCAATGTTCAAGCAGGAGACTGTATAGTATGTTTTAATAAAAATGATATATTTACGGTATCAAACGCTATTGAAAAACTGGGAAAGAAAGTGGCAGTAATATATGGCAGTTTACCACCAGGTACAAAACTTGCACAGGCTGCAAGATTTAATGATCCCAATGATCCTTGTAAAATATTAGTTGCAACAAATGCAATAGGAATGGGTTTAAATTTGTAAGTTTATAATTAAAAATTGTTTCTTTATTATATAATATAGCATTAAAAAAAGATGTTAATATTATTTCAGACATATACGCAGAATAATATTTTATTCTCTGACTCAGCCAGGTCTAAACGAGAAAGGCGAAATAGAAGTCAGCTTAATTTCTGTGTCATCTGCATTACAAATAGCAGGTCGTGCTGGTCGTTATGGAACACAGTGGGAGACAGTAATGTGCAATTAAATTTATATAAGAATAACTTTATAATAAGTATGACATTTAATACTATTAATTACTTGTATTATATTCTAGGGTTTTGTTACAACTTTTAAATACGAAGATCTTAATGTCTTGAAACAGTTATTGCAAAAGACTCCAGACGAAATAGAGCAAGCTGGACTTCATCCAACACCCGATCAGATTGAATTATATGCTTACTATTTACCAAATGCGCCATTATCAAATCTCATTGTAATATTTAATTGTTTATATCATTTATAGCTTAATTTAAAAATGTAAAGCAGAATTTTTTTCCAGGACATCTTCATTGCACTATGTAGGCTCGATGATTCTTTATATTTTATTTGTAATTTGGACGATTTTAAATTTGTCGCGGATATGATAGAACATATACCTTTACCTCTTCGGACGAAATATGTATTTTGTTGTGCACCAGTTAATAGAAAAGTTCCATTTACGTGTAATATGCTTTTAAAGGTGAGGTAAAAGTTTATTAATATTTGTGTGCTAAGCGGCAATACTATACTTACTTGTATATTTTACTTTGTTCTGTAGTATGCCCGACAATGTAGCAAAAACACTCCAATAACTATTCAATGGTTGTGCCTTCAAATTCAATGGCCTTCGAATGTGCCAATAAATCTTGTCGAACTTGTGAGATTAGAAGCTGTATTTGATGTATTAGATGTATATCTTTGGTTAAGGTAGCCGTATGATATATCCTACTTTTCATCGAATACTTTAAGTTCTAATACTATTTATAATTTGTACAGTTATCGAATGCCGGATATGTTTCCTGATACCGATGGAGTCAGGAATTTGCAAAAAGAATTAGACAAAACTATTGAAGAAGGAGTTCGAGTAATTGCAAGACTGTTCAAAGCAGGTATAATTAATAAAACAATATGTATATGTTATTTATTTAAAAATAGGTTAAGCAACAATATTTAATTTTGTTATATAGGTCTTTCAGGAAAATCGACAGAAAGGTCTGAGAAGATACAACCTAATGGTAATTTATTTAATATTATATATATTAATCTTTATAAAAAATATTATAAATTTGGCATATAATAATCTATTTTACAGAACAATCGCTAGGAAAAAATACGTTAGCTCGTTCATTAATATCACGAGGTCTTTTAACGCCGAAGATGTTAGAACAATTAAAAGTAGAGTGGTCGACGGTAAGGAGCATAATTTTAAAAAATTTCTAGTTATTTTTCTTTATTTATTATTACTACAATTTAAAAAATTTCCATAATAATTATTAATATGAAGATAAACAGAAATTTAAAATTATGTATTTATAAAATTTCATATTTGCCAATTTCAGGAAAATAGCAAAGGAAAAACAGTGAACAAAAACTACGAACATAATTCATTTATATCCAAATTTCGCAGATGAAATACATATTTAGTGTTATTACAATTCAATTTATATAAAAATTATAAAGTCATATATTTATATGTACACATCTTCATTTAAAATAAGAATAGATAATGTCGAAGTATTTTCAATTAAAGAAACTTTTTTTTTTTTAATAATATTGATTTCCAAATCCTTGATAAAAAAAGTCTTCTCTTTAAATAATAATGTACATTGGTATAAAGTAAATGAGACATGTATATAAGAATTTCACTCTTTTAATTTTATTTGAAATTATTGTTTCAATATTTTTACAAATTCATATTTGTGATTTCGTTTTCTTATACGCTTAGATTTTTGGCGGAGAGAATGTATTTCTGAGTGGTTTGTTATAAATATGGAACGATTACATGGAAAAGAGAAGAAACTTTTTGTTTGATCTTGTAGTGTATGAGATAGAGAAATGCATCTTGTACATCTTGACAAGTCATTATTCACTAGTAATGGGCATGAAACATGCCTCCATTTTATACCATCTTTATAAGCATTTTTAATGTAATTAATATCCTTAAATCTTTCAATATCGTATATACCTACATAATATATAACAAAATTTAATATTTGATATTAATATTAATTAAGAAGTACAAAATATAAATACCTTGACAGACAATCCTTTGATCAAATTCATCAATAAGTTCTTCTATGTCTATTAAGTTTTGTACTTTTAAATGTTTCCCCTCTCTTATGAGATTGTGAAGTAGTGGGTTAAATTCTTTATTTACAGCAGCACAATGTAATACCATATCACTCTTTATAAACACTTGTTTCTCAGCAAAAGGCATTCCACTCTTTGTCATACCCATATATAAATATACTATTGTTGTTGTGCGGCCTTTAGATGTAACCAAACAGGACCACCCACGTGGTAATAATACTTCTGTACATACTTCAAGTAGATCTTCAAATAACATTTCATTTTTATCAGCATCATTGTACATATTATCTAACTCATCATAATTTAAATTATCTGTCTGACTTTCTACGTATATATTCTCTGTAGAATTAAAATTGTTATCTGTTGATTTTTCCTTATGAAGAATTTCTTTTTTTATTTTATGGTTTGACATTGATTCGTCATCTTCATTGGAGGTATCACAACTTTTGAATGAAGAATCTAAAACTTTGTTAGATGCATTAGAATAAAAGTCTTCTTTACAGGTTTGATTTGGTCCTTCCTCTTCATCAACTTTTACGTCTTCTATCAAGTTTACATCATCAGAAAAACTTCCTTCTTTTAGGCTCATTGTTTTATTCTGCTTTGTTTGGCATGAATTTTGTTTTGAGGAATCTTTCATTTTGGGATTATTGTACGACACATTATTAACATTTGAACCGTTTTCTGAGAATTCTGTATCATTTTGTGAATTTCTTTTAGAAGTATGATTATAATCTACAAATTTATGAGGAAGTTCATATAATGATGAAATTTTGTAATCTTCATTGTAACTTATTTGTATCTTTCCTTCAGTTCTAGGTATCAGAAAATCTCTTTCTTTCTTTGTCAAATCAGAACTTTTTTCAGATTTATATGGTGAGTAACAATTTATATTTACATCAAAATCATCAGAATGTTCCTGAGATTGCGTGTTTTCTTCAAGATGATAATTTCTGCCGGGAACAGCCCCTGGTCTTAATCTACATTTCTTATATTTAATCTATGAAATTAAAAAACATAAATAAGAGTAATAAACTGCAATTGTAATATTATCAATGCAAAGCTAATAAAACTTACAGTTACAACATGTGGTGGCACTCCGCTAACCCAATGTGTAATGATATCATCTTTGTGAAAATGTTTGCTACAAACATATGTATCATCGGTAACACAATAATTTTCAATGGCAATTGCATCTTGCCACTTTTTACGTAATTCAGGATCCTTAGGAGCTGAGAAAAAACTATAAGTATTCCTGTAATTTGTTTCTTTACACAACACACATTTACGCGTCATAATGACACTACGAATGGTACTTTCGCGTTATTGTACTTAAATATTTACAGTATTACAATTTGTATTTGTTTATTATATACATCATATGTTATGCATATGCATATAATTGCTTTGGATATTTTAATTCACTGAAAATCATGTAGGTTATAATGTTTGTATTAAAATTTCAGTTAAAAGAAAATCGTAATTACTTTTAACTTTGATATCATTTATTATTATTCATATGAAATTTTCAGTTAGCTATGTACGTTAAACTCGTTCGCTGGTCACATTGTTTTAAATAACTGTTTCATATGAAGCGTGTTTTTACTCAAGTATGTTCTTCGATAAGAGATACCAATACTAAGAGTTAATTTTGCAACGCATTTTGTGCATTTAGCATGTCAGAATATTTTCAACAGAAAATGTCAACGGGTTAGCATGCAATATTTTAAAACGTTCTTGCAACATTTCAAAATGCCTTATTTATTTGGATCCGAACTTTTACAAGATTTTTATCGCCCTCTAGTGACAAAGTTTTACATAAAAGTAAACTAATCAAATTTTATGAAAAGTCAGTTATAAAAAAATAATCTATTTGCTTATCAGCGATAAAAAATTTTTTTCTGATTTCCTTTATGTTCTCCAATATTATTTCTTTAGTAGTAGCTTGTATTCATTATCAGACGAGTTTTTATTTATTTTGCGCAAATTAGTTTTCATTGGCTTGAGCACTCTTTGTAATCAAACGCAATAGTATGCAATGGACATGCGCAATTGTACTCCATTCTAAAAGAGAAGAAACTAGAGGGCATTTTGCGCAACTTGGAGTCTAGGGATTTTCCTAATCACAATAGCGATGCCTTTCTATAGTTTTTTTATCTTCGTGATCATATACTTGGTGAGAAAAAAGGAAGGAACAATGAGAGCAGTTGATAACGTGCTAAATGTACAACAATATTATATAAATATTAATCACAAATTAATACAATTGTTAAGAAATAATAAAAATATTAATTATAAACATAACAAAGATACTTTTTGATATTACATGTTATAATTCTTTCAATACGTTATAAAACATTGTTTTATTTTAACTTTCTGAACGTGTCGCCAGATGGGAGTTCATTCAACTCTGCTCCTTTATTCAGAGGTTTGACCATCTGTTTTTGAAAGCAACCCTTCGAACATAGAGCATTTCGATTGGAGGAGAATCACATTTATGCTCTCTATTTCCATATCGAAAAATTTTCCAAGTTGACGTTGAATGGCGACTAAATAAAGTGGTTCACTTAATCCGATCAATTTGGTGTACCACGAGGAAAATGACAGTGGTCGTGTAATTTACATAGTCTAAAGTACAAACAAACTGTGTAGTGAATAATTATGTGACTGAATGTAAAGGGGTACCATAAAAAAAAGATGTTTCATTACGAATATGAGAAACGGCTGTTGAAGTCAAACAGTGAGAGCCATATAGATAGTCTGGCTGGTTCTGGACTCCATTCATCGGCATATTTTTCGCCAAGTAAAATGATGAATAATAGTTTCGATCGGTTCATACCAACACGATCAGGCAATAATTGGCAGACAACTTTTTCAATGATATCAGAGAATAGTCGAAATGGTATAGTCACGAAAAAAACTCGCGAAAATGGGGAAAGCAATCGCGATGGAATTGCTTACTCGTGTTTACTGAAAAATGAATTACTTGGAGCAAGTATAGAAGATGTTAAAGGACAATGCGAAGAGCGAAGAATCTTATCACCATTAGTTACCAAAAATCTCTTCAAGTATGTTACACCCACGAAAGACCACACATTACTTGATCAGAGTTCACCTTATTCATTATCACCATTAAGTTCTAAAAGTCAGAAGCTCCTGAGGTCACCAAGAAAGGCAACAAGAAAGATTTCCAGAATACCTTTCAAAGTGCTTGATGCACCAGAACTGCAAGATGATTTTTATTTAAATCTTGTTGATTGGTCATCTCAAAATGTTCTTAGCGTTGGCTTAGGTAGTTGTGTCTACTTGTGGTCTGCCTGTACCAGTCAGGTGACTAGACTGTGCGACTTGTCCAGTGATGGTAATAGTGTAACATCAGTTGCTTGGAATGAAAGAGGAAATTTGGTTGCAGTTGGTACTCATTTAGGGTACATTCAAGTATGGGATGTAGCTGTGAGTAAACAAGTAAGCAAGCTACAAGGACATAGTGCAAGAGTTGGAGCATTGGCTTGGAATGGTGAAGTTTTATCATCTGGCAGCAGAGACAGGTTAATATTGCAACGAGATGTTAGAACTCCTTGTGTCGTCAGTGAAAGACGTTTGGGAGCACACAGGCAAGAAGTTTGTGGATTAAAATGGTCTCCAGATAATCAGTATTTAGCCTCTGGTGGCAATGACAATCGTCTTTATGTGTGGAACTTACATTCTCTCTCACCAGTACAAACATACACGGAACATCTGGCTGCAGTTAAAGCTATTGCGTGGTCTCCACATCATCATGGTCTATTAGCCTCTGGAGGTGGTACAGCAGATAGATGCATCAGATTTTGGAATACATTAACTGGTCAACCAATGCAGTGCGTTGATACTGGTTCTCAAGTTTGCAATTTGGCTTGGAGTAAGCACAGCTCAGAACTAGTCAGTACACATGGCTATTCCCAGAATCAAATTTTGGTTTGGAAATATCCAAGTTTAACACAAGTTGCAAAATTAACAGGACATTCTTATAGAGTTTTATATTTAGCAATGTCACCAGATGGTGAAGCTATTGTAACTGGTGCTGGGGATGAAACTTTGCGTTTTTGGAATGTGTTCAGCAAAGCACGTAGTCAAAAAGAGAATAAGTCTGTGCTGAACCTTTTTACTAGCATTCGATAAATTTATATAAATAAATAATAGGTTTATGTGTAATACACATACATACATTCACTTATACATGTACATATATACATACATAATATTACAAATAAAAATGTGTATATATGTGCATATATGCGTGCACGCACACATACATAAATGAAAACATAGTATTCTGGAAATTTACATTATGTGCAACATATATAACATATATATATATACACATACGTACACACAAAATAATTTACAAATGTTTAGTTGCAAATAAGGATTTGAATATATTTAGTTACAGATAAGAATTGAAATTTATAAGCTAAATTTTTATATGCACAGCCTTTAATATAATTAATTTTTATGTGCAATAAGTTACTAATCATGAAAACATGCCCTTACAAGGAAAAGTAAAGCTAATATTATTTTATGCATTTCTTATACAGATTTTTTTTTTATACATGCTGCTTTAAAATCTTATTTGATCAATACATTGTCTATTTCATATATAAAATATATATATTTTTTTTTATTTTTTTGTTTTATAATATGTTGATTTTAAAAAAGATTACTTATACATTTATATATTTTTTTTTTATTATAGCAAAATTTAAAATGCATTGATAACTTGTATTCACTTAATATACATTGTTTATTGTGTAATATAATGCAGAAAATGAGTAAGGTCATCTGCAATTTTTAATTGCAATATTACATGTAGTTCCTTTCAAGGGCATATTATATTCCTGTGAGACTACAGATTAGTCTTCAGAAATGTATAGGCTGATTAAATTTTAAAACGATTATATAAATCCTTAAAGACTATCTCTGTAATTTTTACAACCTTAATGAAATTAATTATATATAATATCTAGAAAGAAGGTTGTGTCTTAAATACTGAAATATTTTTCTCTTTAAATAATATATTAATTTATATTTTGCAGTTAGCAAATTGTACAAACAAATTGAAATGTGAGCTATAAAATAAATTCACTTATTTATACAAAAACAAAAAATAATATATTATATTGCTATATTTACCTACATATATATTCAAAAAGAAATTGAAAACATAATTAATGCAAAGATAAAAATTCTAGTTAACTACAATTTGAAATTTATATTGTATAGGTCTTAATAATTATGTATAATCTATTTTCAAAAAACCTTTAAACAATACTTTGAAGTATATGTAGAAGGAAATAAATATATTCTGACATTAAATAATGTGATTTTTTATAAGTAAGTTATTGTATTATATCTTTCACAATATTTCAGACATTGAATAATGCATATCTATATAATAAAATCCGGAACTTATTAATGTTTTCCTTTTAAATGTTATTGTGACTATTTAAACTGTTAATAGCACAATATTGTTTAAACTGAAAACGTTAATGGGTGTAACTTATATTTTATACAAAATATAATTATACAAAATCAGTTTAGATATAGAATATTAAATGCTATGATGTATTTGAAGGAAGTACACTTAGTTTATAAAATTATGTTAGACAATATTTTTGTTTGATTTAAATATACATATGTAACTCTCTTAGGCTACCAGAACCTAAATTCTGAGATTATTATTTACAGAAAGTTTAATAACAGTATTTGTAATAGAACTTAATACTTTCATTATATTTAATAGTATTTTGTGTTACAAAATATAGTTAATATAGTAATATTGTTTATTTATAATGGTATATAATTTTAGAAAAATAATTATACACAAAATTTGTGGTTCAATCCAATAAACTGAAAGTACCACTTGTTTAGCATTTGTTTCCATTATTTGTGGAAATATGTGGTAAATAAATAACCAAAGATATGAAAATATATTTTCATTAAAAAATTAAAATTAATATTAAAATTTTATATAATAATAATCTTGGGAAAAGCTTAACATTACATTTCTTATATCACCTTACACAATTTTTACCTGAATAATTATCTTGTATTTTTAATCAATAACAAATGTTTATATGTGTGTATTTAAATCAGACACCTACAATAAAATGTATTATTATAGTCTTCTCTTTTGATTTGTAGTACTATTTTACAATATCTAGTTTACATATTTGTTAGGATCACAAACTGCAATGTATTAAACTACATTTATAAAGTTTTAAAAATTATATAAGATTTTTTAATTATATATTTACAACTACATTGTTATATTTGTACAATAAATTTAAATTACGACAGATTGCTTCTCAAATTATGCTTTAGTTAAGTACAAAAATAAGTACTTACAATTTAGATTATACTTGACATGAAACAAGATCATAGAACACAAAAAATATTAATTAAATTTTTACTCCATTTCAATATTTCAGTATATGCAACAATGACATGTTTGCATAACTTTTCTAAAAGTTTTTCTATTCAATGTTTATAATTGACTTCATCATATAAAATGAATAATATATATTTTCTTTTAAATTCATACATACTGTTTCATTTTCTATTTGCATAATTTCGTTTGCTTTTTAAATGATCTACGATGATAATATTATTAATATTAGCATTATTATTATTACTTTACAGATCTACATTATATTCATGATTCATGTTATAGTAATTTAAAATTAATTTTGTAATAGTTTTATATTCTACATGTAATCATTTTTATATTTGTCTAGAAAAAGGATATACGTAATTTTAATAGATATGCTTCTATTGTTTGTAATGAAATTTATTTTCCTGAAAATGTAATTGTTATGCATATGTCTTATAATATCTTATATGATAACCAATAAGTACAAGAATGTTTAAATCAATAATATTATATTTATACAATTCAATAATATTAATATAATTTCCAAAAGTCCAAATTCCCATATTTCTCAGTCAAATATCAAATCCTCAAATTTTCAATTTCCTACATGTTTTATGTTCCGTATTTAAAAGTTCATTAGTATGAAATTTTTTCAAAGTCGAATTGTAGGACTATTTATTCCACATCGCTATTTTATCGAAGAAAACACATTATTACTCATTTGCTTTCTTGAAGGTAACGCTGTACAAAAACATTGTTAATTGTTCGACTAATGACAATAGAATCATCCTAGCTAAATGAGTCATTAATTGTAGCTTTAGCACGTAAATATTTACGCAGGTAAATTGTTATTGTTTGTCGGGTACCAAAATGAGCCGTATGAATCAGACATAATTGTTAGGTCCATTAGGGCAAGTGGTGGGGTCCTCTTCCCCTACATTACCTGTTTCCGTAGTAAAGGTTAGGTACTCCGAATTTCAATTTTTGTACGGGGTTTTAATTACATGTCTACTTTATAGATATGTTTGTATTATAAATGATAATAGTTCTATTCGTTTTGGTTACATAATTAGATATTAATTTCTAATATCCACTTATTCAATACAAAATGGTATTGAATGTTTTTAGGCGGGTAAATATGTATTCCTTTTTTAATAATGTGGTTATGTTATTCTTGTATCTTGAAATAAAAAATATTTATATTTATTTGTAATGTATCTGAACTGTGTGTTTAGGCTATAACGTGTTATCGTTATCCATTACTTAATAAAACAGTGAGATTTTATGGTATATATGAACCTCCATATTTAAAGGTTATTTTATTCATTAAATACTGTATATGTATTATATGTTATAACATTATATTAATTTAAATATTATTGCAGAAAGTACATGAGATACCAGTATATCCAATTTTAAATATACAACTTAGGGGATATGTGTACCCTGTAATTGAAAATTATCAATCTTATATTCATAAACTTGCACGTGTTTTGAATATCACTGTTGAAGATGGGTAATTACTGTGCAAAGTGGCACTTCATAGTCTATTAAAAATAATAATTACCATATTTTCTTCTATTTGAAATATAATAATGTATATTGTTATAACATTTATATTGATATTTTTGTAGGTTTCCGTTTCCTCACAGAGAATTTAATGTAAAAAGATTTAAACCAGGAGGTACAGTAATTGACAGTGAATATGATATAAAAATATATGAAAGGGATATACAAGTTTCAGATGTTACAGCCACGAATTGTCCTATTTTTATTAGAATATTAGAAGCAACTTTACCTGAAGGAGTTTCTATATGTATAGATAAGTATGATCCTATGATACAGAACAAAAGAATTATTCCAGATAAGGAATTACTTGAATTGAAATCTCAATTAAATGAGATAATGGAAAGTAGAGCACAATAGAATTTAATTATCTATAGAAAAGAAGGTATTTAATAGTAATATATGCAATAACAATTTATTTTGAAAATTAATTTTTATGCAAACTAAATTGTGGACAATATATTTAATAATATAATTAGTAAAAGTTTTATTGTATCAAAATTACATACAGCAAATACATGTCTTTATAAAAGATTTAAATATATGTAAATATAGTTTTATATATTTTTTCTATTAAAATCTAAAACTTTTGTTTATAGAAGTCCAAAATGTACAACCTTTATTTTGGAACCCTCTTCTGATCTTAGAGATTCTTTTGTTTTATCGTTAATCTCGTCTTCTGTAATATACAATATTACATATTATTAGAAAATTGTGTTTAGTTATAAAACTATTATTACTTACTTGATAAAGGTTGAAAATCTTTAAGATAATCTTCGAGACCCAATGGAAGACTTTCTGGTAATTCGCGCTTTGGGTCAGTTAAGTGCACTTGAGTAATTGTAGATCGTTTTTGTTTATGTGATTGACCCTGATAGGAAGAAGGAATTATTTGTTACTAATTATTGAATTTAGTGTACATTCAATTTTCTGCCTTAGTGCAAGTTGTATGCAATTATACTTACAGTACCAGGTACCAATATATGTGTTACTGTATCTGAAAATTTAACCTTTGGTTTTTCACTTGTTGTTAGTGTTGTATCTGTGACAGTAGAAAAGGGAGAACAGGGTATAGAAGCAGAAGTGGATATAATAGGAAGTGGTGGTACATTAGAAGATACTTTAAAATGCTTATTAATACTACCATTTGTACTATTTTGTGATGATACTAATTTTGAATGCCTATTATCAAATCTGTTTTGTATGCTGTACATAGAAGAGAATTGTGAACTACCTAGTTCTATATTATTAGTGGAGGAATGCATATCGATATTATCACAACTTCCATGAAATGAAATGTAATCAAAATCGTAATTCAGTCTGTATCTAGAAGGTTTAATGTTACTGTATTTGTGTTGATCTTGTAAAATATTAGATGTAGAATTTTGTTTTTGCAATAAATGCGACGTGACGTTCCTTGATCTTATAGATGAAAATTTTTGAACAGATTCATCAATATCTGCTAATCCGGATGTACTTCTAGATAGAGGAAGATTTTTTCTTGGAAGATTTTGAAAATAATTTGTAAATGAATTTGTTATAGAAGATGGCAGTGGTGGAATATTAAAATCTACTTGTTTTTTTTCCACAAAAGGTTGTTGCAATTTGATAGTGCCGTGGTTATCTTCAGTACTAAAACTCACTGTATTACTATTACAGGAATCTTGTACTTGATTTTCGAGAAAATTAAATGAAGTTGATACAAGATTTCCATGATTACTTTGAAAATTAGATGTCAATTTGTTTGTGGCAATGGAATCTGTAAGTGTTTTTGATATAAAGTCGGTTGACGTACTAGATGATTTTATACTTTTCAAAGGAGACAAAGAAACAGTCGAATCAGATTTGCTACTTATTAAATTGTTAAATGAAGTGTTATATTGATTTGAAATGTCTGCACCAAAAGATGTAGACATAATATTATTATCTATATTATCTAATGAAGATCTTAACAAATCAGAGGAAACATTTGGTGTAACTGGTTCATATGTTGGATTGTTGAAAGGAGTTGACATAAAACTATTGTCCCCTACCAAATTTGGCGGCATTGCATTGCTGCACACATTATCAAGAGGATATTGCATTTCATCAAGGAGAACATTATTTAACTGTTTGGTCTCTACAGAATTTTCAGTAGGTCGATTAGATGATATTTTACGTTCGTGTAAAGATAAACTTCCAAATGAAGTAGTCATTAAGTCATCAGAGATGTTACTAAAAGATTGTGAATTGTTGCTAGATGCTGCTGTAGTTGTTGATGTTGGTTGTGTATGCGTTTTATATAGCGATTTATTGAACGATGTTGTCGTAAAAAATGTATTTGAAAGTGAGAAATGTGATGAATGATTAAAGGAAGTTGTTGTAAGAGTGTTATTGTGTATACTGAAAGATGTAGATTCCATAGTACAATTATTTTTTTCGCTAGTTAAAGTATCAGTGAATGATGTAGGCAACATGTTTTTATTAGGCGAATGTGGATGGAGAACTGGTAAGGGCGGAATTTGACTGATGGATTCCTTTTTATAATTATGATTTTTAGAGTGTTTTGTGTCAATATGATTCTCTTTGGATGAACTTTCACTTTCATCACTACAAGACTCTCCTTTATCACTCGTTGAATCAGAACACAATGAGCATGATGCTCTAGAGCATGTGGAATCTGAAAATGTTCTCTTATAGCATTTTGCATGAAACTGAACTGCAAACATCTTAGTTCATTCTTACGTGAGCTACTGCAGCTGTTTGATCTACTTAATATACGTTCGGCATTTTCTTTAGCTGCAGTGGCCATTGCTGTATCATTTACGACTAATGCATAAAAATGTATATCCATAAAAAGGTCATGATCATTTAAATCTATAGCAAGTCTAAAGGCCTTTTCAAACATGTGATACCTACAATATTTAAGATTAACTTTATATGTAACATCATAACTCCTACAAAATAAGGTATATATTATATACCTTAATAAGTGGTGGAAAAATCGCCTTGTTAAATCTCTGATTTCATCTCCATATTCTTCTTCAATAACTTGACTTATTGGTTTAACTGGGACATGAAAACTACCCAATGCATTCTGTATAAGATCTAAAGAAGATCAAATTATTTTTACTAAATATATAAATGAATTAAAAAATAATATTAAGTCTTACTTTCGTGCTCTGTTGTCAAAGGTAACTTGAATAAGTAATTTAAAATTTGATTCAGTGCATGCATACACACACGAGGATGTGTATCCCAATTCATGGCCAATAACAAAGAAGTTGCTTGTTCAACTTGAGATAAAGATAAATATCTTTTGACCAATACATCACCGGTAAAAGAATTTCCTTCCAACATTTTTATGACACCTATAGGACCTCTATTAATAATATTATATTAATACAAATTATCCTCTTATATTTAATTTACTTTATAAAATGAAGATTGTAATATACCGTTGAAAAATTAATAGCAATAGCGAATTTCCACGGTTATGTAAATCAACATAACTATTCAAATCATTTTTTTTATTCCATTCCACACGTAGTAATGCCGGTTGAATTCTATAGTAATTATAACCAGTGAGTTACACTTATCAGAACACATTTCAGCAAGGGGTTAAGGAATAAACGATTATAAAATAATACCTAAAATATGATGATAAATCAAGAATGGTAGTTTGTGTTGCTTCTTCACTTAATGTCTGACTTTTAATGCAAGATAAAGAAATGTCAAAATGTTGAAATTGACCTTTGTCATTCCCAATAACAAATATTATTCCATCACTGTGCCATGATGCTAATGTTGGAATCTTAAAAATTAATAAACATATTTTCTTTAGTTTTATATGTATAGCTATAAATATATACATATAAAACTTACAAAAGCTGCTTTCACATTGGTAGTAGTGCCTCTAGTTTGATCATAAATCATAACAGAACCATCTATGCAACATAGTAACAACAATTCCTGAGTAGGCGAAAATTTGATACAACTTGTATGTGTAGGTAAAGGCACAGAGACCATTGCTATCCTTTGAAGTTTATCTTGCTGAGAAATTTCATATGTACGCCACTCTATGGTCACCTCCCCCTATATCATACTTATGATGTGAAGTATTCAGTTGAAAAAGTAATGTTATCAGAATAATTAAAATAATAAATGATACACAACTATTACCTTCCTTGATACTTTTTGTTCTACAGAATGAATAATATTATCATTATTAGTATCAAACATTATACACAATGGGTCAAACTCACTGCGTATATAACAAATTAACCCTAATTTTGCTCTGAAAGTAAAAATATACTGTATTCATGTGCTTTCATTAAAGAATGAAGAAAGCTATATTTTATATACCCTAATAAGCGGTAGAGATGTATATTTGCACGGTCATGTTCTTTCACTGCTGGACTCCAAGGATAAACTTCATTAATAGTAGATTTCCACCAAATTAGTATCTATAACGTTTGAAAATTAAAAAATGAGAAACTGGGTAAAAATTGTAACTTATTATAAGTTGATAATATTGTAACATGTTTACCAAGTCACCGCACTTATTGGTTTGTATTTTCTTGTCCAGCCTGCGCCCATTGGGTCCAAACAAATCAATAGTAGACAATTTTGGCTCAAGTTTACTGATTTTGTCAAAAACATGACGTTTTGATCTTGTAAAGTGTACATGAGTTACTTGATTATCGTTGTAGGTACAAAATATATAATTTTTAGTAATTATCACTAAAAATATGAACAATTATAGATTATCCCAGCATATTGCCATAGAGCAAACACATTAACATAAATCATATGAAATATAATAATTACCATCTGATATATGCTCCAAAAGTTTTCCTACCAGGTATTTATCAAAAGTTATTTTATATATATCACCAGTAGCAATGTTAACTTGTATTTGTATTATTAAGGCATTAGTTAACATTAATTGTATAACACAGTCATCGTACCACTGACAATATACAATTGAATTGTCTTTTAATTGTTCCTATAAATTTGGAAAGTGATTATAAATGTTTGCAAGTCAGTAACTTAGCTGATATTTACCTCTAAATATTTAATACAATCTTTTAACTTGTTTCCTTTCTTATTTGTTGGTACATATATCATACCACGTTTCTGACAATAAGATCTCTTTCCTTCCTCATAAAAACTATCGATACGTTTATCATGGTAACTGCAATAATATTTTAAAGTTTCCAATTCATTTACAATTAATGTTTCATATAATATTATGCAGAGTTATTCAATTTTAAATATTACATGAAGAATATAATTGATCACAAACATAAATTTATTTATCTTACCGGAATGCACCAAAATCTGTGCTCTTTATGTTAATATTATCATCGAATGTCCACAAGTTTACTTCACCCAATAATGTAAACATTATAAAAAACAAACACTCTAAAGTAGTAGAATGTTTACATTAAAACAAACATAAACAACCTCACATTAAACAAACGAGCGATGCGTTATATTATATTACAAAAAAGTTTAATTTTCGAAAGCTTAAATACGCATAAAAACCACAAAAAACAATATACCATTGTATTTAAGAACTCTCTAAAGAGTTATTGTTCACCATTTTGTTACAGGACGCTGCTTTATTGACAGGCATTACAATTCTAACCTAATTTTTATTTTATTGCATAAAAGGTTGCAGTACATGGGACATGAAATCCTATAAAATGGCAAATAATTGTCGGATAGTAATATGCTAAGAAGATATTGGCAAGGTATTTATAGCTTCATTTTAAGAGGTTTTTTAAAATTTATATTTACGCGCGTGCTACTGTAAAAAGGTTACAGTAGCGTTATCTGTTGGTGAATGAAAGAAGATAAAAAGGAAATTTTATTCTATTCTGTATAATCAGTTCAATCGATATGGTAGTTCTTAAGAGTTGCAGAGAATTACTTTACTTGCAGATGTAATTTCAGTACAAAATAGCATGCGTCGGTAAGTGTTAGAGGAAATTGGAACATGTTTTCCGAATTTTCGAATATAGAGCTTAAAATTCAGTGTAAAGTCATTTATTATATTTTATAATGGCTCTAGAAAAATTTCTGAGTATCAAAACGTAAATATTCGGCGTTTTACAGAAAAAAAGCAATCTTTTTATTTAGGTAGTGCGACGCGTGCCTGTCAGGTGGCGCCATTTATATATTTTCAAATAGCGCGCGCAAATATTTCAAAACCACATAACGAATTAATCTTCCAAATCTACTTCCGACTATTCAAATTAATTAGTTTATAACGCACTATCGTTTATACCATTTTTTACAAATTAAATTGTTTTTTTAATTAAGAATACTAATTGTAACATTTAATTATAAGTTAAGAATTAAAAATGAGAAAAATTGAAAAATATGAAATAAAGAACTAAGAAACAAGTTGCATGAATATTATCGTGCGATTACACGACGTTTGATATGCCAACGAATTGTCCAATAAATCGTGAGAACGTGTCATGTGTTCCAATGATAAACACTTGGATGAGTAGGAACAGTGAGCAAGCACGATTACACACATTAAATCGCGCAACAGATATCAAATATTTTGCGTATCATTAAAGGGTACACAATACAAAAATATACAATCGGATACAGCTGTTGTCACGATTAAAAGTGGAGGAGAACTGTCGTTTTTCCGCTAACGATGCTCATTATTGATACTAACGATGCTGATGAAAACATTCTGTCTGTAACAGCAGGAGCAATTAAAGATTTCCGTATTTATTCTTATTTTTATTTATTTGCTTTTACAAAATTATTTTTACTTTTTTTTTTAAATAAATTATATCTTTATATTGGTTAGGTTAGGTTAGGTTTTATATTGGTTAAGATATTAGTTAATATTGTTAGTTAATGTTGTTAAATATAATAATTATTAATATTATAGTTAGTGGATATTATTAAATGTAATAGTTATTAATATTATTGTTAGTGGATATTATTAAACATAATAGTAATTAATATTATAGTTAGTCAATGTTATTAAACATAGTAGTAATCAATATTATAGTTAGTTAATATTATTAAATATAATAGTTATTAATATTATAGTTAGTGGATATTATTAAATATAATAGTTATTAATATTATATTTAGTGGATATTATTAAACATAATAGTTGTTAATATTATAGTTAGTTAATATTATTAAATATAATAGTTATTAATATTATATTTAGTGGATATTATTAAACACAATAGTTGTTAATATTATAGTCAGTCAATATTATGAAATACAATAGTTATTAATATTATAGTTAGTCAATATTATTAAATCCAACATTTTTTATTATTGACAATAGTAAATATTACACAGCTCAAAAACAATAATTTATAAAATTATGCTTCTATAAAATTATACTACTCAATTTTTTAAAATTACTAAAAAATACTGTATGCACAGTGATGTAATATGTAACAGGTAAATTTGTCATAATAATATCAGAGGATGTAAATCATTTTTAGTTGATTCACGTTCAACTAACTTCATAGAAGGAAATATGAGATCCTCCGTCAACGCCAAGTTTTCACAGCGTTTCTATAACATGCTGCAATAATATTAAAAATCTAGTAAAGTCTGCCTCATTTATCACAATAGTTCACTTTTAATCTGTCTCACAATTGTAAACTATTTATTTGATTGTTTTTGTATTTTGTTTTACTCTCATTCTTTTTTTATTTTTATTTTTATTATTCATTACTATTTTTGTTATTTTTATTATTGTCTTTTTATTTTTATTCTTATTAATCATTATTATTTTTGTTATTTATAATTGTTTTTTATTTTTTAACTAACGTTCTTTTTATTTTTTTTTAGCTAGTATACTTTTTTATTTTTATTTTTTATCTAATATTTTTTCTTGTTCTTATTTTTACCTTAGTCTTTCAAGAAATAAGAGCTACCTTCTTATTGAATTTAACCTAACATTTTTTAAACGTAATTTTAAAAAGAAAATTACTTAAAATTGTTAAGTTATAATATTTAGTTAAACGTTGTTAAATTATTATGTTTACTTCATAAAGAAATTAGAAAAGTTTATTTACCAGCAAAGTGAACATTTACTTCGTATCATTTCTCTTCTGATTACATCCTCGGTTTATCCCATTAGGGTCTTTCAAAGTGCTTTCGGTATGCTATTCTCAGTTCTAAACGGAACGCAGTGGAAACAATGAACAAAGAAACAAGTTTTGAAACGAAGACGAAACACACGCTATGCTTCGATACTATTGGATAGTTGTATAACTCCTTAGAATTGACTATGGTATTCGGTTACCATTTCGTTGCTCGAATACAATGTTCCCTCCGTTGCTTACAATATCTTCATATATCCAGTTTAACTACTGCGTATTATGACCTTCTGTTGGTTGACACGGAGAATCACTCTTGCAAATTGGTTATCATTTTTTAGGTTATTTGTGTTATATTGATTCACTGTTTAAAAACGGCAGCCATTTTGCTGCAACATTACGTCTGGCCTCGAGAGGTCATTTATGAGTTTCTTAGTTTTAAGGTTTTGAAGTTTTATTATTGTAAGATTGTAAGATTGTAAAATACTCAAAGCTTTCAAAGTCCCAAATTCCCAAATTCCCAAATTCCCAGATTTCCAAATTCCCAATCTCCCAAAGTCCCAAGCTCCCAAGGTCCCACGCTCCCAAAATCCCAATCTCCCAAATTCCCAGATTCCCAAATTCCCAATCTCCCAAAGTCCCAAGCTCCAATCTCCCAAGGTCCCACGCTCTCAAAATCCCAATCTCCCAAATTCCCAATCTCCCAAAGTCCCAAGCTCCCAAGGTCCCACGCTCCCCAAATTCCCAAGTTCCCAAATTCCCAAAGTCCCAAATTCCCAAATTCCCAAAGTCCCAAATTCCCAAATTCCCAAATTCCCAAATTCCCAAATTCCCAAATTTTCAAATTCCCAAAGTCCCAAATTCCCCAAGCCCCAAATTCCCAAAGTCCCAAATTTCCAAAGTCCCAAATTCCCAAAGTCCCAAATTCCCAAATTCCCAAATTTCCAAATTCCCAAATTCCCAAATTCCCAAATTCCCAAAGTCTCCAAAGTCCCCAAGTCCCAAAGTCCCAAAGTCCCCAAGTCCCAAAGTCCCCAAGTCCCAAAGTCCCCAAGTCCCAAAGTTCCAAATCCCTAAATTCCCAAATTCTCAAGTCTTCAAACCTCCAAATCCCTAAATTCCCAAATTCTCAAGTCTTCAAACCCCAAATTCCCAAAATCCCATATCCCCAAATTTCCAAATCCCCAAAATCTTGAAAATCCCCAAATCCTCAAAGTCCTGAAAATCCCAAAGTCCCAAATCCCCAAATCCCTGAACTTTCGACCCGAAATTCCTTCAACTCCCAAATCACTGTAACATTAGTAGCAGACGTAGTAGACGGTTAGAACACGTTACGAGCTTCAATAGCTGCGAACCAATTTTACACGCAATGTTAATTAGCAACCTGCACGTACAATAGTCCTTCGTATGTCCTGCCCGCATTTAGAACGGCAAACGCGGTGTGGGAATTTCGATGGTCCCTTTGGTGTCTCTTCTAATTTTACGTCTCCGCCTACGTTCAGTGTCACTTTAGATTTTGACTTTATTTCGCGCGGGAATTCTGAAACCTTCGTATTATTAGTTCATTCACTACATATTATTAGTTCGTTGACCGATGTCAGGCACAGATTGTGAACTTTGTTTAACACATATTTAGTAACTGTTAATTTTAATAAAAGAATAATACTTGTTCTTCAGAAATGAATGCTTGTTCTAATATAACACGATTTGGATATTATTTTGCTTATTAAAATTAATTTTTTAATGTCTTGATATTGAAACCAGCACTTGTATACCACATTGCTCTGATTTTTTTTTATTAAAATGAGCTTTTTAGTTGTAGTATGACATTCATAGAGAATTTAAAAAATTTGAAATTGTGGAAATTTAAAAAAAAATTACAGAACGTATTAGTTTTACAATTTTTTTATTATTCCACCACGCTTGTTCTACAAAAAGTACTTGAATGTGAAAACACCATTAATTTAAAGCGACTACATGAATTTTATTATTTAATATTATACTTCTCCTTTTGAGAATACAATTATTTTTCTGCCAAATTATGTAGGCATGCAATATGGAACACATTGAGTGCATGAAACATGTTCCACTCTTTTGCATCAACTTCAGCGAAATTACGTGATAGTCGTATGATTGATTTCTGACTTTTAACAAGTAGCGTTTGCAAAAACCAATTAACATGGAGTGAATGGTGTACTCTTGTTTTGGAGCCTCCCACGCTCTGAATATTTCTCGTATTTTGTAAAATTAACTGTTATTGTTCTTTGAAAATTAAAAATTAATAATTGATAATGATTTATGGGATGAATTAGGTAAGTTAATTAGGGAAGAGTTTTGAGGAAGGTTAGTTTGAAGAAGGTTAGTTTGAGGAACGTTAGTTTAAGGGTTTAAGGTTAGGTTAGTTTTATAGATTTTTGTAAGGTTAGGTTAATATGATGTACATAATGGCATCAAAAGTCTAATGGTAACTGAATAATTCTTAATTACTTTTCTCACTTTAATTATTCCTTGATCACCCTTTATTATTTGTAAATATAATTTTGGATAAACTTCTAAGAATTTTGCAAATTAAATTCCTTGTAAATTTTGAAATTTTAGTAAGTATAATAAAGTTGTTAAAAATTGTACAAGATTATAGTGTTACATATTAAATTTTTAGAGAATATTTAATGGTTTACTTCATAAATACTTCAACATACATAATTCTTCAATTATAATAACTATTACTACAAGAAAGGAAGTAGTAAAATAATTAAAGATTGTTCACTCTTAAAATTCAAAAAATAAAACAATTGACTGCAACATAAAATTAATACAAGTGTCATAATATGTTATAATACATTTTCTTAATTATATAAAAATGTGTTTTAATCATTAACAAAAGATATATAAAACATGAAATAATATCACAAAGCTTTAAAATTGATCGAAGAAGCATATCCACCCGATAATGCAATATGCGTGATAGGCCTGTTATCGCGAGACCATTAACTACAAGAATATGAAGCACACAGGTGATGACTAACTCCGGTATCTATTAAATTACTTTCGAGTAAAGTCTAGCAGGACTTTTCGAGTACAGCCACATGCTCGACAAACATACTTTGATCGTGTTCATGAATATTTTTATCATTTAACTACGCAGTTAACAATTCTTAATAACATATATTGCATATAAAGTAACATGTTGCAAGTAACATATATTGTACAACATATGTTATATTTAACACACATGTATTGCATGTTATACATATTATAAAAAGACACACATGCACCTTACACATTAAAATTATATGATACATATACAAATTGCAAGAAATTAAAAAATCCTAATTCCCAAACCTCCAACTTTTCAAATTCTTAAATTCTCAAATTCCTGAAACTTCAAATCTTTAATTTTTCAAATCCTCCAATTCCTAACCCCTTTAACACACATGTATTGCATGTTACACATATTAGAAAAAGACACACATGCACCTTACACATTAAAATGATATGAAAAATTTAACAAATTGCAAGAAATTAAAAAATCCTAAATCCCCTAATTCCCAAACCTCCAACTTCTCAAATTCTTAAATTCTCAAATTACCAAAACTTCAAATCTTTAATTTTTCAAATTCCCCAATTTCCAACCCCTTAAATCCCTGACTTCCTAAATCCCCAAGTCCCTAAATCCACAAATCTCTAATTTCTTAAATCACAAAATTCCCAAACCCCCAACTTCTCAAATCCCCAATTTCCCAAATCCCTAAATCCACAAATCCCTAATTTTCCACATCCCCAATCGCCAATCCCTTAAATCCCTGCCTTCCTAAATTCCCAAATCCCCAAATCACCAAACCCACAATTTCTCAAATTCCTAATATCCCAAATACCCAAATTCACAAATCTCTAACGTTCCAAATCCCCAAACTTCAAATCTTTAATTTTTCAAATCCCCCAATCTCCAACCCCTTAAATCCCTGACCTCCTAAATCCCCAAATCTCCAAACCCCCAACTTCTCAAATTCCCAACTTCCCAAATCCCTAATTTTCCACATCCCCCAATCGCCAACCCCTTAAATCCCTGCCTTCCTAAATCCCCAAAGCCCCAAATCCACAACTTCTCAAATTCTTAATATCCCAAATACCCAAATTCACAAATCTCTAACGTTCCAAATCCCCAAACCTTCAAATCTTTAATTTTTCAAATCCCCTAATTTCCAACCCCTTAAATCCCTGATCTCCTAAATCCCCAAATCCTCAAACCCCCAACTTCTCAAGTCCCTCCAAACCCCCAACTTCTCAAATTCCCAACTTCTCAAATCCCTAACTTCCCAAATCCCCAAAACTTCAAATCTTTAATTTTTCAAATCCCCCAATCTCCAACCCCTTAAATCCCTGACCTCCTAAATCCCCAAATCCCCAAAACCTTAAATCTCTAATTTTTCAAACCCCCTAATTCACGACGAACAAATTCGAAAATTTCGACAGTAATTAAAATCGAAGCAGCAGCAAAGACCGCAAACTAATTCGGTCACGAAAGAGTTAAATGACCCTCGAACTCGTGTCACCTTCAACAAGTTTCATATCGAGTTCTGCACCAAAGATTCCATGTACAAACCGTATATACATACATGTGCGACTTACATGTACACCTCGCGTATGATAATACATATATCGTTTCGTGTATAGCGCATTATAAATGTACGAATTACGTGTGTAGGGTGTTCCACAAGTACGAACGACGTGTAGGGTGATATACGTACACGAAAACCACCCACGGTGTCTATGTGCTTTACAAGCATGCTCCATGGGAGATGTCCTGCGCCACGCTAGTTTTCGCACCCGTAAAAGAACCAACGCGCAACGTCCCCTTCGTTCATTCACAAACCACCTGCTCGGCGAGGAACTATCCAGTTCCTGGATTCACCTGCTTGTCAGTCACCAACTAACCACATAAGGAGGATGTGGAATGGCAGGGTTTTCGGTTTGTCGGCCGGCATTACCGTCTGCTTCGTTATGTTCCTGCTTGGTGTTACCGGTACTTACGCTAAACGTGAGTAATTTTATTCTATTTTTCTTATGATATTTTTTGTGCGAGGTACTTTTTATGTGAGGTTGCGAAATAGCTAGAATTGTGGGATATTTTAGGATATTTTGGGATATTTTGGATATTTTGTGTGCTTAGGGAAGTTTTCTTTGCAATTTGTACCTTTTGAGGATTTTTTGTGGGGTAGTTTAGAAACGGGAAACGTAGTTAATCATTTTAAAAGAATATGTCGATAGATTTAGGTATTTTTTATGAAGGACAACTTTTTGGTGACTTTTGTGCTTTTGTTGAATTTTAGAATTTTTGGGGGGTTTGTAGTTTGGAAACGAGAAGGTTTAATTGTTGTATAGGTAACAAGTTTGTATTAATTTTTAAGGAAGTAAATCTGGGTAGTTTGTGTGGAAGACAGCTTTCTTGGTGATTTTTGTAATTTTGTTGGTTTTTAGAATTTTTTAGGGGTTTGTTGTTTGGAAGCAAGAAAGTTTAACTGTTATGTAGTTAATAATTTTGTATTAATTTTTAAGGAAGTAAATCTAGGTATTTTTTATGAAGAATAGCTTTTTTGGTGACTTTTGTAGTTTTATCGGTTTCAATAAATTTTTGTGAGTTTCTAATTTGAAAATGAAAAGGTTTAACATCTGCGTTAATAATTTTGAATAAATTTTTGCACAAATATGTCGATGTTAAATCTACTTCTCACAAAGAATATTTTTTTATCTTTTTATTTTAATAATTTTAATAATCAATGATTATCTTCATTACAATAATTATACAATTGTTGAACTTTACCAATATTTCTTGAAGAGAATACATTTATTTAAACAATAATTACTAATTGAAGCCTGAAAGTGCAAAATATTTCACTGCTTCCAGTATTAATTTATACGTAATTAATTAATAAAGTGGTTATTACATGAAAATCAACGTGACATTTCCAATTAAGTGATGAAAGGGGAAGAAGGTTATTTTATTTTATATTAAATATTTATTAATTAAAACTGTCGTCATTAATTTTTATTTCGATTTATTTGGATTTCTGTTTTTTCAATTTTTGACTTCTTAAGTTCTAATTTTTTTAGATTCTTAGATTTCTAAATTTCTAGATTCCAAACTTTTAAAATTCCACAATTCCCAAATTCCACACTTCCCAAATTCCACAATTCTCAAATTCCACAATTCCCAAGTTCCATAATTTCCAAATTCCACAATTCCCAAATTCCACAATTCCCAAATTCCACAATTCCCAAATTCCCAAATTCCCAAATTCCACAATTCCCGAATTCCACAATTCCCAAATTCCACAATTCTCAAATTCCCAAATTCCATAATTCCCAAATTCCACAGTTCCCAAATTCCACAATTCCCAAATTCCACAATTCCCAAATTCCACAATTCCCAAATTCCACAATTCCCAAATTCCACAATTCCCAAATTCCACAATTCCCAAATTCCACAATTCCCAAATTCCACAATTCCCAAATTCCACAATTCCCAAATTCCACAATTCCCAAATTCCACAATTCCCAAATTCCACAATTCCCAAATTCCACAATTCCCAAATTCCACAATTCCCAAATTCCACAATTCCCAAATTCCATCAAATTCCCAAATTCCACAGTTCCCAAATTCCACAATTCCCAAATTCCACAATTCCCAAATTCCACAATTCCCAAATTCCGCAATTCCCAAATTCCCAAATTACGCAAATCCCAAATTCCGCAATTCCCAAATTCCGCAATTCCCAAATTCCACAATTCCACAATTCCACAATTCCACGATTCCAAAATTCCAAAATTCCAAAATTCCAAAATTCCAAAATTCCAAAATTTCAAATTTCCAAATTTCCAAATTTCCAAATTTCCAAATTTCCACCTTTCCACATTTCTGAACGTCTACATCCAAACCTTGAAAAGTATATAAATTTCAAACATTGCAATTTCCGTATTCCAAGATCCCTACATCCCCAAATTCCTACATCCCCTAATTCCTACATTTCTATTCCCTTGTCTTCGCACCACAAACCCCCGTACTCCTACATCTCCACTCTTCTACATCTCTGCACCCTCACATCCTTGCATCCACACATCTTCGCATCCTCACATCCTTGCACTCCACATCCCTCTCCCTAAATACCCACTTCTCAATCTCCAGTTCTCCAACTAAAACAGAAAGAATATTTAAGAAAACTTCCCTCGTCGTATATTAATGAATGCACAATCAAAAGCTATACCACAAGCTCTAAAAAAAGAAATCCCATAAAAGAATAACAAGAAAATTTCAAAGCAGAATTTATGCGAGCTCATGAAATTCATCTATGAAACTCCATCAACGAAGGATTTTGAGACAACCAATTTGACTTGCAGAACTACCCACTTTTCTGGATAGTTCGCGTCGAATCAATTAAGTGGAAACCGAAAAATAGAGTGTTCGAAAGCAGGGAGGCTTAAAGGTCGTATAATAGCGAAAGAAAATGAAATTCTGCTCCACGTAGGACGCTTAATTTTCTAGCATTCTCGATTATCTTTACATAATACTGCTGGTAATTGGCTATTCAATTCTTTCGGGTCGAAATTCGATGAGGTCTTACGAGGACTAATGCGTCTATTGTTTTTGATTACACAGAAATAAAGACAGTTCCTGATCAGAAAATGATAGGGGTAAATTTCTTGCATTTCTCCTCTAGACGGAACCGCCATTGTTGTTATTTGCGGACATGGACCTACAATATGTAATTAAAATCTTATACAACACGACTAATTCTATTTTAGATGAGGAGGATAAGGAGGATCATTGGTGAGGGCTATGTAAATTGATATCTAATTATGGGTCTATTAGTGTGTGGGTACATTTTCTATTGATTTTTACGTTTCTTCAGAAATCTGATATCTGCTATTTTTAAGGACCTCACTATGTACACAGTACAGTGAAACTTTTTAGAACTCATGTACAGTAGTCAAACCACGAGTTGGCGCGTGTAAAAAAGCTTCCACTTCAACTTCGACTAACAAGAATAATGACAACTGTTGAGAAGCACTATCTCACTCTCGTCTGTCCTTGTTTTTGGCCTAATGTACCGACTGTGAGCCAATTGCACCGCCGAAAATACGTGTGGCGTCCATTTTTCTATTCCGACCAATTGCAGCTCTTCTAAACACGTCAACTCACGCGCCAACTCGTGGGTTGGCATCGGTACCCTTGCCTCATGATTTATTCGCGTCGGTCAGAACTAATCACCGCTGCAATACTAAAACAGATGGAGAAAGTTAAAATATTATATCAATTTAGTATTATTCGGTTGACTATGTAAACTGCTGCTCTTCTAAACAGCTGGGTTCATGCGCCAACTCGTGGGTTGGCATCGGTACCCTTGCCTCATGATTTATTCGCGTCGGTCAGAACTAATCACCGCTGCAATACTAAAACAGATGGAGAAAGTTAAAATATTATATCAATTTAGTATTATTCGGTTGACTATGTAAACTGCCGTGGCTCTTCTAAACACGTCAGCCTCACGCGCCAACTCGTGGGTTGGCATCGGTACCCTTGCCTCATGATTTATTCGCGTCGGTCAGAACTAATCACCGCTGCAATACTAAAACAGATGGAGAAAGTTAAAATATTATATCAATTTAGTATTATTCGGTTGACTATGTAAACTGCCGTGGCTCTTCTAAACACGTCAGCCTCACGCGCCAACTCGTGGGTTGGCATCGGTACCCTTGCCTCATGATTTATTCGCGTCGGTCAGAACTAATCACACAGAAAGAATATTTAAGAAAACTTCCCTCGTCGTATATTAATGAATGCACAATCAAAAGCTATACCACAAGCTCTAAAAAAAGAAATCCCATAAAAGAATAACAAGAAAATTTCAAAGCAGAATTTATGCGAGCTCATGAAATTCATCTATGAAACTCCATCAACGAAGGATTTTGAGACAACCAATTTGACTTGCAGAACTACCCACTTTTCTGGATAGTTCGCGTCGAATCAATTAAGTGGAAACCGAAAAATAGAGTGTTCGAAAGCAGGGAGGCTTAAAGGTCGTATAATAGCGAAAGAAAATGAAATTCTGCTCCACGTAGGACGCTTAATTTTCTAGCATTCTCGATTATCTTTACATAATACTGCTGGTAATTGGCTATTCAATTCTTTCGGGTCGAAATTCGATGAGGTCTTACGAGGACTAATGCGTCTATTGTTTTTGATTACACAGAAATAAAGACAGTTCCTGATCAGAAAATGATAGGGGTAAATTTCTTGCATTTCTCCTCTAGACGGAACCGCCATTGTTGTTATTTGCGGACATGGACCTACAATATGTAATTAAAATCTTATACAACACGACTAATTCTATTTTAGATGAGGAGGATAAGGAGGATCATTGGTGAGGGCTATGTAAATTGATATCTAATTATGGGTCTATTAGTGTGTGGGTACATTTTCTATTGATTTTTACGTTTCTTCAGAAATCTGATATCTGCTATTTTTAAGGACCTCACTATGTACACAGTACAGTGAAACTTTTTAGAACTCATGTACAGTAGTCAAACCACGAGTTGGCGCGTGTAAAAAAGCTTCCACTTCAACTTCGACTAACAAGAATAATGACAACTGTTGAGAAGCACTATCTCACTCTCGTCTGTCCTTGTTTTTGGCCTAATGTACCGACCGCGAGCCAATTGCACCGCCGAAAATACGTGTGGCGTCCATTTTTCTATTCCGACCAATTGCAGCTCTTCTAAACACGTCAACTCACGCGCCAACTCGTGGGTTGGTATCGGTACCCTTGCCTCATGATTTATTCGCGTCGGTCAGAACTAATCGCTGCTGCAATACTAGAACAGATGAAGAAAGTTAAAATATTATATCAATTTAGTATTATTCGGTTGACTATGTAAACTGCCGCTCTTCTAAACAGCTGGGTTCATGCGCCAACTCGTGGGTTGGCATCGGTAGTCGCTTTCATATAATTCATTGTCTTCTTACACTTTCTGCTGTAATAA